GCCATAATGCATTTTTCAGAGGCTAAAGCAAAGGGGATAAATGTTTGTTTCATGAAATGATCAATAACAAAAGTTTTGATTGCTCTGATATTATAATGAACTACTAAACAGTTAATATAAACTTTTGCTTCTTTTAAATTCATTAAAATTCTAGAACACAGCTTCAAAACCTGCATATTTTATAGCAGGAAATTACAGTATTCCGCAAAATCACTATCGTATCAAAAACAAGGATAACTGTAGCAGCTCCTTATTAGAAAATTTTTTGAATTAACTATGCAAGCGTCAGAGATGGTAAACCTTCTACGCTTCAGCACCCGTTTTCCCATTTCATTTGAATAAGCATAGATATTATCAGTGCATAAGGTTCTTTAATACATTAACAATGAGTTTTAATGACAACAACAATAAAAAGTTCTATTCAGAACCCTTCAGCCTTTTTCATCACACAACATTTAAAGGACATAAAAATGTGTATCGAATTTGTACTAACCGAACAGATTATTTTTCCTTTTATATCAAACAGTATAACAAAATTAACTTCTTTATCAGCTAATGAATATAAAATTTGATAACCATCTAAAAACAAAAATAACAGAAGAAAAAATAATAATGGTACAATGTATCTAAACTTTCTGGTTTTCAAATATTTCCCTACTGATGCAGAATGGTATCATTATTTACAAGCAATGGCTGTTATGACAAATAATTAACCAAATAAACAAATAAAAGTCTAGACTATTATTTCCAATTATTATGAAAGTATTTCATTAAAATACATTTCAGCTGCCCTAAAGCTAATATATAGGAATAGATCTTTATATGTCCACATGTGTGTTCTTTGACTTATAAGAGAAATTTTCCATTTTTGTAAGATCCATGGATCGAAAGTTTAAATCCTAATAAGGAGAAAAAATCCTTAAATCATACATCATGAATGCAAAAGTAATTAAAAATCTCACTCAAGGCAGTAAAATTAAAATATACCCTAAATCTTTTTTAAGTAAAAATAAGAGAATTTGATTGAATAAATAACAAAATATAAGGACTTTTAGAACTGTATGAGGGTTTGTAATCCCTGAATACAAAATTTTATACTTCTGCACATAAGTTAGCTGACTCATATTTGTAATAGAAAACAATCAGGCTTATTTTTAATTAATGTCAGAGGCTTTCAATGTTCTTCATCAAGGACTGTTCAGTGACAACTTTAATATTCACTAAAGAGTTCAAAGATCCAATGCAAAATGCCATTCTTTTTTCAATTGGAATTTCTGTAATCCTGTAATGTGAATTGAAGTGCTTTTTAATCTATTCTGAGAAATAATTAGTTTTGAACATTTATCTGCAACATAATTTAAAATGTGTTCTTGCTATATTCTGCCATGTAAAACGTTTTCAAATTATTTGTTATTGACTTTCCATAAACACTTTGATAAATTCATCAAAACAATGAAATTTAACTTATGGGTCAAAATAATACCTATTTTTTTATTTTAAATGCAGAATTACTTTAGACATTTTGAAATAATGTATATATATTTTTTCAATTTCATTTGGCTTATATTTAATTCAATTCAATCTGAATTTCAAAACTAGAGATGAATTCACATTTGGTGCTATATATGTACACTGATAAACAAAAAGAAATCATATTAAAAAGTACATTTAATTCACCTCCAAATAAATTACAGATTAAAAAAAAATCTGTTTTATTTTCTTATGCTCTAGGAAGTGTTGTTAACTAAATACTTCATTTATTTTTGTATAACCAACCTACTCATTCAGTAATTTAAGTAACTATTGAAACAACTTATGAAATATAATTCCTCCGAAATTATGAAAATACAAAACAAACAAATACAGATGCAAGCCATATTTTCTTATAAAAGATGATAAAGACAAAATATGATCTTCATCAGAAGGAACAAATACTAGGTGCATTTCAAATACATGAACAATAAATAAATAACTAAAATGTCTACCAAAAAGGAAAAATATTAAACACTTACAGTTAATTTTAAAATTTTTATTGACATTGTTTAAAATAGCCTTTATTTTCCTAGTGTCTGATGAAACATGAAACAACACACTGTTATATTTATTCACAGTTGTCTTTCACTGTAACTGAAAGCAGTTTAAAATGAAAAGGAAGAGAGAACATCCTTGTTCTCAATAAGTCAATCTTCTTTAATGAAGAAACAGTATGGTTAGTAACCGTAGAAAATCATTTTGGTTTGTATGACTGTTTAAATACAATTTTATAAAGACGATCATTTACAGGCAAATCAAGGAAGCCTACCGAGCATCTTGTTCATCTGACGTGCTAGATTTATCAGCCCTTCCCATATCTTTATTTTGTACATACATGGATGTATCCACTAACTTTGTTTGCATACGAGTTGGGCAGTGTTTTTCCCAATACTGTTGATATTTCAGTCTAGTTTCTTCAATATCATCTTCAATTCTTTGTCTCTTCGATTCAGGTTCACCTTCCGATTGAGATTCACCTTCAGATTGAGTCTTTCGCTTATCAACAGAATTAGGAGGTGTATTTTCACACATTTCACTTTCAGGCTCTACTGAAGCACTAGAACTTCCAGTAGCAGTTGTTGCCGGCACTGCATTTTGCCTTCGCGGACGGCCTCTTGGCCGTTTGACAGTGGGAACTGCCACACTGGGCACATCACCAATGGATTGTGTGTTTTTCAACTCAGCACTTGAATTCTGACTATTTTCTGTTTCAGAACTACAAAAAGAAAGAAAAAAATGCAAGCATTTAATCTTTAAATATCCCCATTTTCCCCCAAAATTAAGTAAAAATATCATAAAATAAAATAAAGAAAATAGTTACACATGCAATCTGCAATGCTTACCTTAAGACACTTTTAGTATAATGGTTTTCCATATCTTGACTTTCATGGGAATTCTCTTCAGGTACCTCATGACCTAATGCATCATCAATTTCATACTCTTCTCGCAAGCTTTCTGGTTGCAAGCTTTCTGGCTGGCTACTCGTATTACCTTCAATTGCAATGGAGTCACTATTTCCCACTGATTTCCTGGCATTGCTTCTGGCATTTGCAAATAACATTTCTAATTCCAAACCAGATTTCTGGGAGCAAATAAAAGTAAATAATACTCAATATTAAATTATATCATAAATTTACACATACATATGTGATGACAAAAGGCATATAGGAAAGAGAGAAAGAAAATTATATTTTATGGAATATAAAAACATAAATAACAAAAGTAATAAATTGCTCAACTTTTGTCTTGATTTGCAGTTTTATAATACTTTGTATATATAATTTCATATTTGTGATTTGTAAATTCTGAAACAGTGAACCAATCAAAATCTGATTTGGAATGAATGAAATTCAAGCCTACTATAAGGGAAGTTTAGAATGCCATTTGTCCTACATCATAGGATATACTTTCATGGTGTATATTATGTCCAGGGTTCGTACACATTTCTGCTCACGGAAATTAAGTACTTTCAAGGACCATTAATGAAAAAAAATTAAGGATCTATGAGCAAATGAAACTGAATAAATTCAATTAAAAATATTATTTATGCCTGAATTTCCCTTTTGTAATATCATCCTAAAAATAAAATAGATTCCTAAGTAGTATGCATTATTACTAAACATGAATTAATTAACATAATTATTAATAAGTTTGAGAATAAAATTAACTTAAAAAATATCAAGTAGCATAAATATTTACACTTATAATAGTAGATATTTTTGAGAGAAGATAAACGTGACATTACGTTTTACTATCAGTTATAGCTTTATGTTGATTTTTTTTGTCTCATTTTGTCACATATTGGTCAGTCTAGGAGGTTTTAGTAAATAGCAGGTAGATTTTATGTCAAACAGCATAGGTTAAAATGAAAGTAAAATCATAATCAGCATGATCATAACAAAAGACTGAATGTTGTTTGCTATGCTGATGTGCTGAGAGAGACCTCGATACAAAAAACCAGAAAGAGATGTAGGCACGGTTGGCAAGTTTTGAAAGTAGTTTGGCTCTGTCTTGCGCAGTTGGTCCATATTTCTTGTAAGTTCAAGGGTAACCCAGTTAATATACTTTAAGGGTTCCACTAAAAGCACATGGTGGTTTTTGTATTATTTTAGGTCCAACTAGATGCAAATAATACATGATTTTTATTTTTACATTTAAATTGTGTGAAGAGATAATTTTTAGGCAGTTAGCTATAAAATAATTAATTAGATAGTTAGATAAATTCAGTCACTATGGATTTACATGGCCATATTTTTTATTTTTTAACAATATTTTGTTAAAAAAAGCCCTATTAAATCAAAATCTAATAAAATTTCACAGTTTATACAATAAAAATTATGACTTGATTCTTAAATGATATTAGGATAATTACACATTAAAGATACAAACATTTACGCCATTTAATTTGAAGCCTGCCAAGCATTTGGCTAGTTATATCGATTTCCTTCTCTTTAAGCATTTACTAACAATTAAATTTTGTCTCAATGTGCAAACCATCTTTTTGCTATTTCTGTGTGCTTTACTCCTAAACTTGTCAACCTCTCCACAATTGACCTAGAGGGATACTTGATCGGTAAAAGTAAATAGTCCAAAACCCCTAAAGAGTGAAGCATATTATCGCTATGTCTGAAAGTAACCCATATTAGACAAGTTTAAATAAGCCTTATTTAAAAGAACTTCGACTAAGGCATGTTCTGATGTACCAAATCATTACATATCACGGTAACATAATTAAACAAGAAACAGTCAAATTCAAACAAAAATGGTGGTGTAGTGGTCAAAGATTAACAATTTAATTTTAATTTAATCTGGCTCAGTAACCTATCATATGAAAAGAAATGGGACTTATAGTAAAGGCGGAACAATTACAATTGGGTAATTTTTCTACATAATAATCATTGCCATCTTGTGAAGATAATTTTCTTTACGTATTCACTACGTGTCGTCACTTAACACTGGTCGCCTTCATTTTTACTGTTTTGGTCAATTAAGGATTAGGATGGAGTCTGTAAAACTGAAATGCGTAGAAGGGTAAAAAAAGAAGAAGGAGGCGTGAGTAGGGGGAAATAATATGGGTACAGGTTAGTTACAGACTCATGTGGCATTGAATTTTGAGATTTAAGCAGCCATTAGATAGCAAATTTAAAAGGTACTAGCAGTATAATTTAGGTCACAAGACACAAGATTGCATCCAGTGACAAAATGCCATACGATTTTGGGGTCTCTTTAGTGCTACACAGTTGTTGAACGTGGAAACTTATACATAGAGAGAAGGCTCGAAAGCCAAGGATGAAACAGCGTGGTCCGAAAAGCCAAAAGTAGCGAAGTATGTTACCGAAAACAGAACAAAGAAGAAGAATTTAGGTTGATCTATGTGTATGATGCATAAGACTATAGGAATCTTTAAATTAGAAGTTTTCATTTCCTATTAATAAAAAATTCCTTTCATGTGCCTTCGCATATAAGAATGAGAAGCATTTTTTGATATTTCCATGCCTTGAGTCCTATGAAAAGTAAGAAAATAAAAACAAGATAAACATGTTAAGATCTAGTATCAAAATTATACAAAAATGACATGGTCTTTCTGGAGATTTCCAAAAATGTCAAGTAATTCATGAATGCGTAACTTGCTATAAAATACCATCCATATCTGTTTGATTACCATTGGAGAATATTTTCATTTTTCACATATTTCTCGAATCTTTTAGAATCGTGGGTCGAAAATCTTGCCAAAATCCTTCTCAACCTCCAAGCTGCAATGTCCAAATCCTAAGAAAAATAATCCCTACCAATCCTGTACTGCCAAGCCAGAAATCTTTTGGCGGAGGGGGGGGGGGGAAGAGAGAGAGATGAGAGATAAAATTTTAAAATTAATTTATAGAGAAAACTGATGCATATTCTGCGAAGTTTGAATATCTGAGACAATTACGTGAGAAAACTCTTACTATAAAAATGAAAGAAGAAATTTTTAAGTTATTACAGGCTATTTTGCTTTGCTAAACTGTTCATAAATTGTGCTTAGAGCATTACATACACTTGTTTGATTTTTCAAAATGTCATACATATTCATGATAATTTTTTTTTTTATGTTCAAAATATAGATCTACCATTTTATTTATAAACATTTTTAAAGTAACGTAGAAATTGCATGATTTTAAAAATATCAAACATCATAAAAAAAAAAAAAGTCCCAGATGTTAGAAATAGAAAGTCTTCTAGAACTGACTTTAAAAACGCCAGCCCAATGTTGATAGTATGCTCAAATTTACACCTTACATCTAGACGTTGCCATTATCGGATGGATCAAATCCAGACCCTCAAAACCACCACCAATGTTTTCGGTAAGCTTTACCATGTGCTTGATTCCCCCCCTTCTGCGCATATAAAACATCTGGTGAAAACGCCAACCGGTGAAGGTTATTTTTATACTTTTCTTCATCACACATGTTTTGCAAAACATGATAAGCGTTGTAGCGTAAGACTTGCGCGAGAACAAACAATTTTTTTTTATGTTAGTAATTGAATAATATAAGAGTATGGTAACCTTCTATTTGACATTATGCTTGGCCTGATTAGCATTTAATTTACATCGCTAAAAATGTACGAGGAAAAATGTACCAAAAATTTTATCTCTGCCATAATTAAAGATAGGTTTTGATCTGATGATACTCATAAACCCAAAATTACTTTAGGGCTTTTTGAATAGAATAACATATAATTTTCACATAAGGCCAGAGACGGGTGCGGGGGGTCTCTATGTAGCAGAATTTGACCCCAAGACGACTGCATAGTATCTAGTGCCGGCCCTCAAGGCTTTAGTATCTGCTGGGATATTATTTATTCAGACCTGAATAGACAGAAGTAGTTAAATAACTAATACACTTCAGGCTTAATTGTCTCGTGCGCGATAGAAGCAAGATGAATTAACGAACTTTTCATTAGTGCCAGCTATGATGCATAGCCAAATATATATAGTGAAGGAAATTTATAATGATAGCCACTAATTTTAAGGTTTTCGGTATCGCAAAAAACGAAAACACCAATTAATGATTTTTGTAAAGAATTGTAGAATCGGTAATAGATGAAGATGACATAAAAGTACATTTGTGCTTACAATGTCTTCTCAATCATCAATCAATTATGAATGGTGAAATCTTTGTAGTAGGTTGTAAACCAGAAATAACCCTATCTACCTTAACTGAAATATGCAAAAAATGCCAGAGAAGTGGGGAAACGAGAAAATCTTTCAATGACAAGTATATTCGGTCATCTCGAAACAAGCAGTTACAGACCTTCAGAACATCAACAATGACAAAGAATTATGTCTGTCTATAGAAATAAAGAGAAAGCATTAGTAGAAAAACAAGCACTTTGAGGAACTACAGTGAAAAACGTTTAAGGAAAACAATAAAATTAACTTTTTTTTTATAATGTTTTGACTATCCTTTACATCATAGAACTTTATGTTTTTAAATAATCAGAACATTCATATTTTTAATTTTACTAATTCACATGTCAATCTTACTAGATTAAACTATGATCAAATATCCGAAAAAAATCCCAACTCTGAATCGGCGAAAAGCTCGTGATATAATATTACACATGACCCATCCAAACAATAACCATACGCATGAAGTGATACCAAAATCATCCCCACTATACATGGCATTCACACTCAAATGACGTCGGAACAATACAGACAATATTCCGATTATAAAAGTTATGATCTTCTTGCTGATTTTGGCCAATGAAGGACTTTAAGACCAAAAATCATTCCAAAATTCGAAGCGCACTCTTAACTTCGTAAGGGCGGGGGCTAAAGGCTATGCCTTAACGCCGGCTCCATTGCCAAGGCAACCGTCGTGCATGTCACAAAAGCTGGCTAGGCTCATGGCATTTGGGTTCAAAGTTTTTCAACTTATGCCGAGTTTGGAATCAGCGTCCGAGGAATCAAGCGAAGTTAAACCAAAGGGCGCGTTCTACAGAATGATTTTCCCCTGACAGAAAAACAAGCGCGAGCTACTGGGAAATCAATCGAGCGGATAACAGAGCGGGAAGTGGTAGACACATCCTGCTTCACGAACTTTTAGCTTCTCTCATTGGCCACGGCTTCCCTCCTGTTCCCTGCAGTGTAAGCGGAATTCCTGTATTTTATGCCCTTATGACTATGCCTCTATGCCCTTTACACCGCCGTCTGAACACAGCCTTAAAGACCATATGAACCCTGTACGTCATAGGATATTCTACATTTTAAAATTAAGACAGGAACAAGGAAGATGATTAGCAGGGTCCATAGAAAGAAATTTTAGAGTGAGACATTGAACAGGAAAAAATTATTTGGAGATAAAAGTACATGCAAACTGCAAAATTCATGTCTGTTATTACTATCATTAGATTCTTTTCCATCATATCAAAATTAAAGATTCTGAACAATACAGCTTTACTGATAATCACAAAGCTAAAATATTTTTTAAAGCTTAGTAAATATTCATAATGCAAAGGCATAACAGGGAAAAACCTAAAGTACTATATTAAAAACTATATTTACAAATAATAATGTGTGTTTATAAACCTGGATAAGTGTGTTTACTATAAGTGTGTTTAAAATCTGAATTTGATAAGAAACATTGATCAAACAACTCTAGGGAAAACAGCACACCAGACTATATGATAATATATATAAATATAAAGGTATTCTGAATAGTAAGATTTTCAAAATACTGAATATAACCACAAACTTCTCAAAGTTGTATCCTTAGATGTTGATCTTAAAGGTGATTTAGTTCTCTAAGCTTTTACTTAGTAAGCTGCTTCATAATATTGTGATTTAAGGGAGGATAACAGAAAATTTAAAATTCCCTTCTACAAAAGATTTTATAGAATCTTATTTTTATCTACAATTGTTGTACCATCTTAGTAAATAAGTTAAAGGGTAACTTCCCACAAAAGGTTTAAACCATGCAAACACATACTTTAATTGAAATGCAGTAACAGAGATAGCTCATGTAAAGTCATTTCCAGATAATTTTCCATGATATTGTCAACCAGAATAAAGTCAACATTTCTATTCTCAAAATATCCACGACAGCTCAGAAATTCTGATAACAAAAATTCTCAAAAATAAATGTTGAAAATAAGTGAATACATAAAGGAGCATTGAAGCTTTGCAGCGAAGAAACAGAATTTTTCAAGAACTGAAACTTAGCATTTTGGTTCAACATGATCCAGTTACCTTAATTTTTACACTAGTAAGTAAAAATTTGCTCTAAAACATAATACAAAAACAAATACACATATTTAAAATACATATTTCAGAATAAGCTTTTCACTAATGATAAAATAGTTTAATCTTATATATTTTCTTTAAACGTTCATTCATTTAAAAGTCAATTGTAATTTTCAGAAGGTAACAAATATATACGAATTATTTGTTGCCTACTGAAGTTAACTTTGGTATTTAAATTATTAATATTATCATTTATTATTTTATGTTTCAGTTTGCAAGAACTCAAGGAAAGACATAACAAAGTTAATTTATAAATACTTTTAAATTCAAAGCAGGCTAAAATTCAAAGATACCTCATATCCAGATCAGTGCAAATTAGAATATGCTAGCTGTACTTAATGTCAATTCTAACAAATTCATTTTTAAGCAGATGACATTAATTTGTTACAAGAAATTTTATGGAAAACACTGAGTGTTTTAAAAATCCCAATGTTAAGTTTTATTTTGTTCTACTTGACTTGTGTCGAATGGAAAGAGAGTGACAGCGTGCTTTTACTCTGCATCAGATAAAAGAACGTCTGGAACAACAAAAGGATGATAAGAAGAATCAAGAAGGCAGAATGGGATATTTCACTTAGCTGGCATCAGTCGGCGAAGTTTTTTAGTTTTTAAAGAGCTAATAAAATCCGCAACAATTCTCGAAGAAGCTAGAAAGGTGAAATTAAGTGGTCCAGTGCTATTAAGGAAAGAAGAGACTGTGCTTTTGACTTTGGTGATATGATCATTATCACATTGGGAAGCATTGGGAGTAAAGGTATCTTCAAGCGTGTCAGCGAAAGTATTGGCTTTATCTTCATCAGAATAAAAAAGTCTCTACAGCACACTAATAATCTATCAGAGCAATTTCCAATGAAATTAGTTCTCTGAATCTTATTTACATTTCATACAATACTGTAGAACTGCCTTAAAAATATTTCATATAATATATGCACATTTGTACACACACATATGGGAAAGGGGGAAGGGAAGTTGTTGATGCAGCCAAAATTTTCCTCAATCAGGTTAGTTAGAAGTTAAATATTTTTAACAAGAAAAAGAAGAGAAATACAAAGTTAGACAATTCAAAGTGGGGATGTCAAGCTTCCTGTCTTTTCATTTTTCTGCAAATAATTCAATGTCCCTGTACTTCACATGCCGGGGGGGATTTTTTTTAAGTGCTACATATTTACACTGGTGTAACTAAAAAGGGTTCTAACCAACGGCAGATGTAATTTTGTCCTTTTTCTGCAGTCTCAACTTAATACAAGAATGGGCCAATTTTAGATTCTTGTTCATATTTAAAGGGAATATTGTACCAAAAAAATAGTATTACATTATTTAAGTGTCTTACCTCATTAAATGTTAAGAAAAAAAACCTTTTTTAATTAAATCTTTATTGAACTTTCTGATCGCAAAGGGTGCTTTCTCAAGATCACATGACTTTTCCTCTAACGCCTCCAAGCTAGCGTAGCACAAGATGAAGAACATCTTTCATTCTTATTTTACATACTCTTACTCACATTTTGAGCTTTCGACTCGTGCTGACGATGTAACTAAAAGTACACATTTGATTTCTTTTAAGCCAACATATGTTTAAATGGTTATTTTCAGATACTGGTTATAACTTTCGTAGTGGTGTAATGCCAAAGAAAAAAGATCCAAGATCCATAGAATAAAAGCAAGAAGTATTAGCATCCAAAAAAATGAAGCACTTAAAACAAACTTACATTGAAAGATATGTTTGAATAAATTAACAAAAAAATGTTAACTCTTGTAAATTTTGATACCCTTAGCATCATATTGCTTTATTTCATAAATTATTTTCCTATTTTTTAATTTTAATAATTCTGCATGCCATCATTACTTAAAACCATTTTAAATTGATAATCCGAAAAACCCCTAATCCGGAATCGCCTAAGTCCCAACGAGTCCGGATTAAAAACTTTGTACTGTATAAGCTTTTTACATCATCATTCGGAAAATGCTAGTTTATCATTTAGATTTTTCGTTTTGATTAACATTAAAAAGAAAACAAAAAGTTGTCTTTTAATCAGCTTTGTTTCTTTAACCATTAATCAATTTTTATAAATTAAATTCACATATTTAGAAAATAAAGATTTCTCCTTGGAACTTACTATAACGGAATAAACAGAAAGATCGAGTAATACATGTGAAATTTAACTTATTTCGCATAAAATAAAAAAGTGATAAATATACACCAAAAGCATGACCAAAATTTTAAGCAAGAATAGCATAATATTACCTTTGGAGGGTTGACTATTAATTCTTGTGGCAGGTAAGTCTTTAAATTGCAGTATGTCTAATACAAAAACATAATAAACGATTATTTTACATAAGATTATACTGGCATAAATACTAGCAGCTTTTTTTTATCATGAGTAATGAAATATATCAGTTAACCATATCAATTTAAAATAGACACAGGAATCTCAATTACATACTATTATTAAAAGTTATTTCAAAATTTTATTACTTTCATGAACATCCACTAACTTCCAAATAATATCATAAGATAAGCATATTAAATATATAGCATTTGAGAGAGAGAGGGAAAAAAACTATACTATTTAAAAAATTTTATGAATTTAAAACTCATTAACACTTCATAACAATAAAACTGCATAAATTTTTACATTATTTAAAAGTATTGTTAATTACTGAAGAAAAAACTATTTAACTAACCTGTCATTATTTAAAATTATTTGTCAAGATAGATAAATATGAATCCTAAATTGTACACATATTTATTGGAGGAGAAAGGGAATTAAGCACTTTCAAAGATCTATTTTTGAAGCATATTCAACAAGGTTCCCTGACTGAAATGCATTTCGGTATAATAAAACATACGCTAAATGGTGCAAAGCAAGCATATCTACAAAAGGAAACATGATGATATTTTACATTATTAAGTTACAGCTATGAAATTTTCAAACTGATGCATTTTGTTTACACAAACATGCAATTACTAATTAAATCCCAAAGGCTTAAAATTACTTATGATCCTTCTTCACTACTACTGTTAATTCAGAACACAAATTAACATCTTTTTATTAAATATCAAATTTCTTGAAAATCCATATTTAATAAAAAAAATGATGATAATTTGAGTAAATAAATAAATACCTGTCATTAAAAAGCTATTCAATATTCACAAATAAAACATGTTTCTAAAAAGCATTCAAGTTGTTACTTTCTTTCCATCTTAAATTTATTGAGGACAATAATGCAATGCAGATAAATTTTCTCAAATTGTGCAATTCATATCTATAAATATTTAATTTTTTATACATTTTTCTAACATTAAATAAAAACATTTTAAAAAAGAAAGAAAACTTGTCGAAAACTATTTACTATTCTAAAGATACAAAATTTTTACCTGGTCTTGTTCAGTAAATAATTTTGTAGGTAAGTTTGGCTCAACAGGATATTCTTTCACAACGAAATTTGTAGTTTTCGATATCACGAGACTTAAAGCCAAATCACTAACTGCATACAGTTTCTACGGAAAAATTGAAACCTTAGCAAATTTAATTTAAAAGGTAAATACAGTTCAGAAATGGAAAAGTAACTACACTTTAAAATACTATTTTTAATATAAAAATTTTATTTTACTTATTAATTATCATTACTGATCTTCCTTAAAAAAGGGGGAGGGTAAAAGAGACTGGCAGTTCTGTCTTTAACTGATATGGATATAATATAGAGAATTATACATAATATGCATAAATTATATTAAATCAACAATAAATACACTTTCAGACACAAGCGTTAAAACATTAATAATGAAGAAACAAAACCAAATTTATACAATTCCTTACATACAGGCAGTAAATACTAAATCTAGATAAACATTTCATCTGGTATCCTGCACATAAGCATTAAATGACATTAAAAACTGTTGTCAATTAATCAAGCATTTCAAAAATATCTTTTGCAACTCACTTCTTTTAGTAACCCTAGCAACGGCAAGGCGCACGACAACAACGACCAAAACCAATATCCCATGATCCTTTTGTTCTATTCCTCAATTTTTTATTATTACTCTCTCTTGTGTGCTTATATTATCTTTAACCCTTTAACTGTCAAGTTATTTTGATGATTTATTGAGCGCACATTAACTTTTCCCGAGATACAGTCGGGTTTGACAAAGAGATGAAGTCGAAATAAATGTCTCCCGATATATATTCGGGTATAACAATACGATGCACTCAGAAAAAAATTACCCCGAGAAATACTTGGACGTGACATTTTGGAACACCAGTGCTGTGCCCGAGATAATCTCGGGTATGACAGTTAAAAGGTTAATGTATCCATCCGTTCTTATTATTTTATTTAAATCTGAAATGAATAGATGTGATTTATGTATGAATATGCATTTCTATTGTTAATAGATAAACGATAAAACATCTCTCATAACAGGTTTTATTTTGGAGATTTAACTGCCACTGCTCGACACAACAGCGAAATTTGCTATCTTTATCTTCATTGATTATGAGACTCATATTGTAAATCCAGAAACAAAAATTTAAGAATGAGTATATAATACATAAACTTTCTCAAACTGCTAAACAAGAATTAACAATTGCACAGTCAGGTCCTGAAGATTCCATGCAAATAAAGAAACTGAATTCCAAAAATTATGCTATTAGGAAATTCAAGATTCAAATGCTTTCAATGCGTGATGGGGCTTCTTTATTCTCCCTCAACTTCTAAACCTGAAGATGAAATTTTAAACAGGGATAAATATACACCTATAATAAATGTATGCATTGACACAATCTCAGATTATCCATGTTACAGATGAAATGTCTGCTGCTGGTACATGAAAAAAATTAAAGTCAATTCATGAGTGCCCCAATTTAAGCAGCGAATTACATCTTCTGACAAAATTATATACAATAAAAACGGCTGAACTCGGTTATACGATCGTGCACATCACTTATATGATGGACTTAGTCGAAAGACTGGCGTGTATTTAGCGTGCATTTGGTGTGTATTTAGTTATGGCAAAGCTCACTAGGGCTATCTGCCTAAGGGGAGGAATGCCTTCGTGGAGGACTTTCTAAGGGAAACTGGCTCGTATACACGTTACACATGGGGGAAAACCACGAAAACACCCATGTAGCCAGCCCGTTCGCGGGATTCGAACCTCGGATCGAACTACCAGTGTTTAGCGACTTTACCGCTCGGCCGCTGGTGGGCAGTTGAAAGACTGAAAGCTATCAGTGAGAACATTCTGGTTTAGCATGTAGCCACATTTTTGTTAGTTTCAATTCAAGAATCATACAATAATCTTATAACTGCCCTAGGAGCCAGAGAGGAAACTCTTATAACTACAGATCTCATAAAAATGAAACTGGCTGACGAATACATAGGAGACAAGAACAACAAGCAAACAGAAGTTCTAATTCTTCAACAGTGTTTAAATCTGTAATAAAAGCAAGAACTTATGATAATAATTAGACTAGGAAAATTTTGTACCTTTTGTAAATGCAGTGGTCATACTTGTGAGCATTGTTTTAAATTACAAAACAAAAATAACAATTTTTATCCTGACAACTAAAAATCAGAAACTCATGTGACCAAACATGTTGGAAAATTGAACAGACATTGCATGAGCGCTGAGACTTTCGATAAAATAAGCTGTGGCAACAATTTGAAAAGAGAAACAACGCTTGTAGTGAATTAACGCAAAATGCCAAAATAAAATTAACAGTCCTTCTGGGCAAATTACCCCTTTGGACTAAAAATTCTGTATGTTGATTCTGGCACAAGTAATCACCTAATAGAAGATAAAAGTTTGTTTACAGAACTATATGAGGATTCTCAAGCAAAAATTATTTTAGCGACGGAAAAATTTTATATTCACACGACAGAGGATTTGTTGACCTGATTCTGACCTGAAGATGAATGCAGTTACAGAAAATTACACTGGCTAACATTTATTATGTTTCTGAGTTAAAGAGCAAGTTGATTTCCATTACGCAAATAGCTAGTAAGTGATATTCTGTTATTTTCAAAAAAGAAAATTGTTTCGTCAAAAAGGATAGCCAAATAGATATGCAAGCATATGCTGATAACAATAGTTTATATAAAATTGTTCTAATCAAAAATCCAGAAAACGCTAATACTGCAGTAGAATGTAAAAATAAAAACTGCATTCAAATATGGCATTCAAGGTTAGGCCATCAAAGTTATGCAATTGGTAAGAGAAAATTTTGCAGAAGGAATAAAATTAAATAATTGCACTCATAATGATAGTTCTTTAGAAGGCATAAAGAATAAAATGCAGCAAATTCCTTATCCAAAAGCTGCTAATGTTTGCACAAGCAAACCACTTGAACTAGTGACACTTGCTGACTACTCCAAGTATTGGTGGAAAACTTTATTTTGTAACCTCTATTGATGACTTTACTACATACACCTTCATCTATTTGCTCACTAAAAGAATGAAGCTCATAGATTGCATTATTGTAACATAATTCATAATAAGAAAAAGGAGCCCATGGCAGCAAAATGCCTCAAATGCTAAAAATCTCATTGTTAAATTTAGACAAGCAGCAATAGCTTCCGAATGTGATGCCATTCTTAGGAGGCGAGCAATAAAAGGTGCAATTATTGATCAAACAATGTGAACGAGAAGTACATATATAATAATAAAGAGGTTGTTAGAATTAAGAACTTTTTTAGAAAATGTAGATAACCCTAATATTTCACTAACAGAAAGACTGTGGAATGATCTTGCAGAATTGGAAACTCTTCTTTCTACACTGTTTTTTGCCGCAAAAAAGCTACGATCTGAAGTATTAACAGAGGCTCAGTTTCCACGAGAATGGAAAAATGTGATGTTTGTTCTTTCCAAAATGGGACAACTTAGGAGGAATAATTTCCTTAATGAAGAACAGAGAAACTAATTTGCTAGACAATGAGATCTTGCTGGGTTCAATATATGAACATCCAAAACACCAAATTTTGTAGGATAATGAACAAATTAAAAAGGCAAAGAAAGCCATCTGTGAACTTTCACTAAGAATGAAATTATTCTCAGAACAACTGGAGTATTCAAATCAAGACAGACTGCAGACACTGCAACTGAGTCTCTATCATTCTCTTCCATTGATGAATTAGATTCTGAGAAATATTTGGATAATATTGAAAAGGCTAAGGCAAAGCAAATGAAAATAAAGAAACAACAGACTTTAGATATAAAAATGAAAAAATACAAACAAGATTTCTACACAGCCCTTCAAGAAATAAAGAAATATGATCACTCCTACAAGACACCTCTTTTAGAACTTGTACAAATCTATCCTGAAAAGTTAAAAGAAGTAGCCTTAACAGTAACAGCTTTTCCTCCTACTGAAGTAGTGTGGAAAGACTATTCTCAGACTCTCAAAGTTTATCAAATTGGATCTGTGGTTCTTTATCACAGAAGATCTTGCCGAACCTATGCTGTTCCTTATAAATTACTAACGCCAGTTTCTTTTTATTTCATAATAAATGCTAATTAATATATATAATCTGCAATGCCATCATTTTCTTCTGTAGCATCTATTACTTCTTTTATATTTAAAAAAAAAAAAACTGTAACGCAGGTTGTATATGTTTACATATATATGAGGGAGTGAGTCCTTAAAATTTCAAGACTCAAAGCCAGAGTCAGCCTTTTTCTCTATCAACTCCACAGCCCAGGTTTCTAGAATGCATTTCACATGGCATATGTTTACTGAGTGTTATTCATGTGGCACAGGTTACCTCAAAACACGTATGAAAATCATATGTTGCCAACTCGAGTGTTTGTAATTCGAGATATGATTCGAGGCATTTATTGTTCTAATAATTTGTTCATGAACTGAAGTATTTGTGATTTGAGGTTCCAATAAACCTTGCTCATATAAAAAAACAAAGGTAAAAGTATATTTATGGGTACCCCTTGGCAAAAATTAGTGATTTTTGGTGGTACATGGATACCGAGTTTGTGCAATTCTTGTTATTTTGGCTTTGTGTAGTGGCACTTAAAATCGTAGCTACACAAAGACAAAATAAACAGTCAAAGAATTTCACAAACTCGGTATCCATGTACACAAGACCTATTTTCACTTAAAAAAACCATTACAGAATTGCACAAACTAGGCATTGCACACTCCCTTGACTTTATCCATGTACACGTCGACCTATTTTCACTTAAAAAAATATCAGAGAGTTGCACAAACTTGGCATCGTGGACTCCCTTGACTTTGTCCATGTACTCATCGATATATTTTTACTTAAACAGCCAAAGGAGCACCCAATTCTACAGTAGAGATAAACAAAAAATACATGATCTCAATAAACTACATTTTAAACCAAACAATAATAATAATAAAAAAAAACCTGTTATGCATTTAATGCACTACACAAAGCAAATATCCACTTACATTATTTAGAAAGTCATTCGTCTTCAGTCTGTGGCACACAAAATTCCTTAACAGCATCTAAAAACTTCCTAAAATTATCTGAACTCGAATCCATATATCGGCGTTGCCACATATATTCACAAAAATCAGAGTAAAAAATATTTTCCGTAGTTCCGGGCTGTTCAGAAAATGGCTACTAAGTAAACCTTCATTTACGCACCAATCAATTTATGCTCTTTTCCCCTTTTGTTCCAAATCGTACAGAAACTTCAAATTAATCTTACTACATTCTACCGTCATAACAGCAAAACAAGCAATGTACTTTCTAACCGACACACACTGCAAGCCCTTATAAAACATTCCATAATTCAAAATTTATGGCAATCATGGCAACCGATTATGTCATAATAGGGTTTCCATAACATTCAACTACTCAGATTACCATAAATAAAACAACAACTTGGCAATAAACGAAACAACAACCTGGCGATAAATGAAACAGCAACTTCGTGATAATACAAGGGTTACTCTTCAGTCTACTCTAACCAATACAAATATTAATTGATTAAACATTGTTTGAATCTTTATAAAAATTTCTAGAAATGTCTATAGAAGATTACGACAATTCAGATAAAATTTAAAGAGTAAAATTAAGCTAAAAATCACTAAGGGTGGGAGAATAGATTTTGCACAATTTAAGTTTCATTAATTCAATAAATGGAACTTATTTCTGGAGAACATATCCATAGTAAAGGCTAAAAACCTGAAAATTTGGTAACCTACTCGGAGAATGGGAAAGAGCAGCTTGTTATGCACACCTCTGGGGAAGTCCTTATGCAACTTTTATTTTTCTAACTGTTGGCTGATACTTCTAAACTTACTTAGATATATGTACAGTCAAAAGTCGTTAATCCGGACTCGTCGGGACTTCGGCGATTCCGGATTATCGATCATCAGTTTAAATCTCGTAAGATGGCATGCAGAAATTCTAAAATTAAAAATATGAAACCGTAACTTATGAAATAAAGAACAATTATGATCTAAAGGGTATCAAAATTTGCAAAAAGACAAAGCTATATAATAGTTATTGTTTACTTTATTAAACATTTCTTTCAATGTAAGTGTTGTTTAAGTTTTGCTTTCGTTTCATGTGATAATACTTTCTCTTTAATTCTATTTAAACAGACATAATTTCTTGTTCAGTTACAAAGTTCCGCTTGTTCAAGTCCTATAATTGCTGTGTCGAGAACACCGACTAATTTGTCAATCGAAACTTTTTTTCGTTTTCAATAACCTCTGTCACTTTCTTCGCTATCGGAAGCGAATTATAACGACGGAGGAACTTGTTTTAAATCATATCAAAGACGGAGCATATCGAGATGAAATACTACATTTGGTAAAGAAATTATAAGCCAAATAAAATAAAAACATCTGCGCTGAAGATAAGGATAGTGTTGACAGATCAACTTCCAATTCATTACGTCGCGGCGTTCCCCCCCCGCCGAGCAGCGTGAAATTGATAAACAGATTTCGGGATTTCAAAAACATACTTTGCTTTAGATCCTTTACATATTAACAAATATATATCGGAAATTCTATTTGATATAATCGAAAGTTTAAGCTTACTTTTATAAAATTGCTCTTACAGTCTGCAAAAAATAATAAGCCGGATCCAATTCGAAAAATTAAGGAACAACGCAATCATCAACATTAACTGATGAATAGATAATTAGATAATTTTAGCTTACACGTCCATTATAATAAAATGCGCACACGAAAACGTATTCTGCACTTGCACACACTCATATGCGCAGTCGTAAAGGGTCTTACGCGCACGCGTAAACGCCTATGCACATGTGTCAACGCGGCGCATCCGCAGAAAGTTTTTAGTTTTGAGGTCTGGATTATAGATCATTCCGAATTATGGGTGTCTGAATTAACGACTTTTGACTGTAGTATGCTTAGATCTAGTATACTTAGATATATACTTCTGAATTCACATACATTCACGTTTTAGCATTTTTAAATTTAAAAAGTCAATTTTGTACAAATTATTAAAGCTAAATTTTTAATAAGGTCCCCTGGTCCATATTGTTATATTCAATAAAAGTATGCATTTATAAACTGTATACAAAGTGAAATTTTCATTTACAAAACAGGCAAAATAAAATTGCAGTATTCTCTTGACAAATACACTAAACAATAATAAAACAGCATTTTGAATGTTTCGAGATTTTTTTATTAAAACATGAAACTCACCAAATTAGCAATATCATCATTAGGAGCTTGTTTATCTTTTGTTTGTTTGATACCTTCCAATAAGCGCTTAAAAAAGCTGAAACTGTAGTTTTCATGTTTCATAAGTGGCTCCATCAAAAACCATAAACAGCTAAACAGAAGAGTATCTTTATTAATGGAATACCACACAAAAGGCAATTTAAAGATATTTAAAAAAGGTACAAATAATTAGAAAATACTTTCCTATAAAAAACATAATGCTGAAAAAATGTAAAATTGTCAAGATATATTGAAAGTAATGATTTATGTTTTTATTTCAAAATAGAAAAACAGAAAACTAAAAATTATTTCCCATATTGAGTTTGCAACATTTAAAAAAGGAGGGGACAATACTTTGAAAACTTCATATTTATTCATTCTTTTTAAAGTCTTTAGTCTATGATTTAAGAACATTATGAAAGATTATGCACTCACAAGTAATTTAATTTCACATAATTTCGATACTACTACAAAAATCAGCGGTTAATTTAAGCCAAATATAATTTTCCTGGAATCAGCTCACTAAGACACATTATTCCCAGATTAAATGTCTATAATATACTTCAAAAACACAAGTTATATTTCAAAATAGCAGAAAAATAAGAAACATTTGATATGAGCATGACATCTTACTTAATATAAATTATGTACATTTAGAGAGATGCCAACTTTTGAGAAGAGTTATCACTAATACGTCACTGAAATTAATTAGTAATATTTACAGTAATACTTAAACAACTCAGTAATACTTATGATAACACTCAAGCATTTCCCAGATTGCAGGGAATGGGATTCAACAGCATAACAGGATATTAATCACATAAGGCACATTACTTACAATTTTGCAGAAGAAATAAAAGATCATATATTTCCCAGGTTATTATCCCTGATCTAGTCAACTTTGTTGTACATTTTGCTGCAGCTAACAAATGAAATTTTGATTACATTGAAAAGCAAGTAAACTTAGCCTTTCTTCACTACAATTCAGTTCACACTTTTAAAAAACTTTTTGCATCTTTGAAAGTGACTTAGTAAATGTATTTGGTTACAGCAAACACATGATTAACAACAGATTAAAATGTGCACTATCCTATTGTTTGTTCCAATATTGAAAACTTCCAGTTTGACATATTTCTGTGCATTGTTTCCTGAAGAGTTTCAACTCTAGGAGATACTGCACAACAATGGGTGTTAAAACGCAATACACAAAGGAAATGACTTTAAGCTTACTTCAATTATTCAACATCTCTTTTCCATTTACAGATGCAGATTAGTGATGGCTGACAAATTAAAAACTCAAAACAAATTCATTTGTACACCTTCCAAATCAATACCTGCTAATCTGCAGAATATCACTGATATTCAAATCACTAGTTAAGCTGCAAGTTTTTCCTCACACTCTTAGGATCATCATCTAGATTCAAATAACCTTTGTTTTGTCCCTTTTTTTCACACTAACATATGCTGCCCTTGCATTTTGGATATTTAAATACAATCAAATCCATTTTGCTGCACTAGTACGAGACAGCTTTCCTCTCTTTCATCTCCCAAATCATAAAAAAGTAGCAGTATGTTTATTCATTTCTTTTATAGCCATAACTTTTTCAATACCAATTTAGAATATCCCCAGAAAATACAAAAAATATGGCTGCTCTGCATGAAATCCTAAATGCATAAGAACAGTAATGATTATAGGTCAAAATCAAATCTGCAGAATATTTTAAATATATTGCCTCAAGTTTATTAAAAAAAAGTCCATCATTAATCAACCCGCCATCATATGGTTGTGTTCACATTCCCCTTTCCCACCTCAAGTTTCTGAAATTGGTCAAGAGCTTGCCAATTATCAATCAAACTCAGGTTTATGAGCACATGTGTGTCAATTTTCTAAATTTTTTCCCTCCCAACACCATAACTTTTAAATGGGCCTTTGCTTCATAATACAAAGATTGCCAGACTTATCAACCAGAAAAAATTTTACTGCCTAACTTGTCATTTTTTGTAATAATATTTGTCACATCTGCAATTTCATAATAAAAATCAGTTTAGAAAATTCATATCAGTTGGCATCTTTATATAAATGGGGAGTAACCAAACTGATGATCACAATTTTAAGAAGTGATAGAACATGGTAAAAGTAACACTTTTCTTAATGTAATGTGTAATGGAATGTAAATGTGGAAACACAGCAAGTATGAAAAACATCAAAGAAGGGAAAACACACACAAACATGGTTTTAAGCATTAATATTAAACAAGAATGATATTTGGTACTTAGGAGAATTTCTCAAATGATAATCACAAATGGAGGTGAAATGATTGACAAAGATGCCCCACAGCTTCGCTTCTGCAGCAGAAATGCTAATTCTGGAGACAAGAATAGAGGCAAGGAGAATCAATATGCATCTTTTAGTAAACAGATTTGGCCAAAAACTGCAGTTGCCAGTCATTCATTTGAACAATTCTTGTAAATACCTGTGGTTAAAACCACTTTTTGTTTTCATGTTCTTTATACATACTATATTTCTGTATTCTACATAAACTTAAACAAAAAGTATAACATGATTTCGCCTTTGATTAATGCCAAAGGAAAGGGGTTGTATTGATACAGCAAATTTTCACTGCAGTGGTTCACATATGGCAACATATATTCTGAACTAGGTACTTAAAAATTTTTAAGACAGTGCGATAATAAGCTCAATAATTTCACTAAAAATTAGGGCATTTTAATCTAAAATGTTTATTATATTGCTATTAATGGTAGCACATTAACTGAAATACTCCTAAAATTGTACAGTAAAAATAATTGAATCTGGTGGCAATTTAATTTCAAAACACTTAAAACGTACAAAAGATTGCCCCTGGCAAGCAAAAGATATTTTAAAACTATTAAATTTTCCAAAGCACAAAAAAACCTACAATTTAAAAACAGATAATTTTTTTAGTACATATACATAACAAAATTGCAGATTACTAATTCATACTAAGAATACTTAATTAATTAAAAAAAAACAGAACTCACTCCTTCAGTTTTATTAAAGATGCAACATCATCATATTTCTTAAATGCTGGATCATGAGCAAGTAAATGGATTGCATATGGCAATACATAGTCGGGTAAATATGAATACAGCTTAACTGAAAATATAATGAATTAATTAAAACTCAAGAGCTACTGAATAAAATACTTTAACAAGCATAAAAAAGGGAATGTACTTGGACTATTCATTAAAATAACAATATAGCTCAATTCAAGAGAAAATAATTGGTCTAAAAAATTTATTTTTCTTCATTTATATTTACAAAAAGGATATTTCTAATTCAAGATACATACACAAATGAATTACATGATAAGCAAATATGAGAAACAGAGAAAACACAATCAACTGCTGATTAACCTGTTCTGTGTTTAAAAAATATTTATTATAGAGCAATAAAGAAATTATTATCACAAACCATCAGCGTAAGATAAAACTGTCTACAGAAAACAAAAAAAGAAAACAAACTGTATGGTATAAGAGCCGTGATAGCAGAAGATGTCATAATGTTTGAGAGGTTTTTTTACACATATACTCTGAAATATGTATAGGTTGTACAATAAAAATAAAAGGTTCTCACTAAATTTTCTACTTATGTTTGAATTCAAAGACATTATTTAAAGTTTCTGGCAAATACTATTCTTTAATCCTATTTATCAGTCACTTTCTTCATTTCCAATCATGTTCATTTCTCTGTAATTTACAATATGTCCTTTTTTGTTTTGAGTATTGACTCATTTTAAATAATCAAATTAATTTATTCTCCAGATTAATATAGTTTGAAAGTACAGATAAACTGCAAATAGCATTTTTCACTTATTATATGGGTTATTTCCTCTGCCTGTGTTGCTTAGAAGTGCTTTTGTATTAACTATGATTTTGAGTTAAAAGCGCATGTTGTCCAAAGTATTACCTGGTTAATGATAAGTTAAATGTAAATAATTATTGATTTATAATATGCATAATAAATTATTGATATGAAAACGATACAGAAAAGAATTTCATCAGACATTACCAAGAGTAAGCCCATAATGAATAGAGAACTAAAATAGTAGAAAATTAAAAAAAAAAAAAAAAAAAAAAAAAAAAAAATCTAGTTTGAAGGTTAATACTTGGGGGATGGGGAAAAGCAGCACAGACAGGAAAAAAAGTAAAAGCATAAACTGAAGAATGAATTCTGTAAAGCACCCAAATAAATTACACATAACACTACTTACTGACTTAGAACAAAAAGCATCCAGACTCAAGATAATGACTACTTAATTTTGCTGCCAAATTTCCCCGTAAAAACACTTCCAACTGAAGTCCCAGTTTTGAGAATTCCAAAGTTTAATCTACTAGGACTGGCACGTTACATGAACAAAATTTCCTTTCATGTCTGCAGACAGTTAAAGATGTATTTATGAACCAAGGTATTAAATCCACTTTTCTCAGCCTTCTTTGATATATCTTCTAATTATGGATTTATTTATTTATTCTTTAAAACACACCTTTATGAATTCTTTTTTTATACATAACTTACTTTGAGACATGTTTTAGCATCAGAAATGCTTTTAGTCTCGATCCTCACTTTTTTGTCTGTATCACTTTTCAGATAAAAGGATGTTGACACCAAAGATTGTATTATTATTAAAGAAATAATATAAAAAATGTATGGCAACACAAATAAAAAAGGATGATGACATCAAATGTTATTGGAATATATTATTTTTAAAGAAATATAGTGAATATAAAAAAAATGCGTAGTGACAATTAAAATTCTGTCAGGAGTTCTAAAGATACTCTGTTAAATATTGTAACTTTGGTGTTCAAATTTTTATGGCATAAATGCAAAGAAAATGTTTAAAAATAAAGTTTAAAAGACAAAACAAAGGGAGGCTGCAAATTATCTTACTGTGGAAACTGAACACTGACATAAGAAACTGCGAAAAGCTTTAAAAAAATTAATAGCAGCATTTAACAATGCATTAGGACTTCTAAACATATGTTGCTTTTTTGTGATTTTGTGTTGAATTTTATGGAGGATAAATGTGAAGAAAGCATTGTTTAATAATAAAAAGAGAGGGGAAAAAAGATGTAATAGCAGGAGTGAGTCCAAGAGCAGACTGATATGCTACAAGCTTCAGTCGGGGGGGGGGGGGGGGGGGGGACTGCTGGCTTGATGTTAAAATGTGGATCCTTTCAGGTTTTTTTTTCTTTTTGGCCTTCATTTAATTATTATTATTTTTTTTTTTTAATCTACCACAAGAGTCATTTGTTGCAATCCATCTGATATTCAGAAATGAGACTGACGCTGTTTTCAACTGAATACTGTATTTTGAGTTGCAGTAAGCATAGTTGCAGTAAAGTACATAACTGTTTAAGTTATTTTGGATGTACTTCATTTGCATTTAATCAATAAAATGATTAGTATATGAAGTGCATATTGTTCACTCCGTGAACATGACTGCAATATGAGACACCTTTCTATGAAAAGATGAATTTCCTGCACTGGTCGCTTTTTTGAAGATTAAGTTTGTTTATTTCTATTCAATTCAAACATAATGTTGAGTCAGAATTCATAAATTTCTGCATTAGCTTTTGTAAAAGTAAGTGCAAACATGAATGGAAAATAAATATGTTTATACACTTAAGTAATAAATATAATAAATGAAATTCATAAACAAATAGACACCTGCAAATTAATATTTCTCTTACTTATTTACATATTATTTTATGACTCCATTCTGAGAATTAGTAATTTGGGGTAGAGCTTCAGGAAGGCACATTAAAATTTTAGAAAGTAGCAACCTAGTACTGCATAATAAAGTATTAGTATTTTCGGCATTTCTTTTAAACTGCTTACATACAATTATTCAGTTGTTAATTTATTTACTGTTATACACTTCCAAATAGGTAGATTCATACCCCCCCTTTTTTTTTTTCAAAGCATTTAACTTTTATACTGGAAGACTACTGTTAGGGATGTCTCAGATAAAAGGCAATATGACTATAATTAGGGTTAATCAGCACTAGCAAAATTTAGCAAATTGCAAAAACGAATGTGAGCCAACTAGGAATGACTGCTGAATCCAAAAACAAATATGGCATGATTATATTTAAATGAGAAAGGGGGGCTCTCAACTACAAGGTTTCTTTACTTTAGACAGAGTTCTTGAAAACTGAACTTATGACAAGTGATAGAATCCTGGCAAACACAGATTACTATCTTCTATTTTAAAATCCTGACTCTTCAGTTATTTGCAAAAACAAGAAAGCTTACAATCAGCTTCTGTCTAAAACAGTGGTTCTTAACCGGGGTGCCCGCACCCCTAGGGGTGCAGGAATGTATTTTTGGGGGTGCGGGAGAAGCCCCTACCTAACCATAAAAATTATTAAATATCATTTATTAAATTTCTTATAATAAAATATTTGAAATCTGTAATAGTGTCCCTAATATTGAAGCTCATAAAAATTGGTAGCACCTAGCTCACTTATCGGCAAATGACACAGAAAAGAGCCGGTGCCAATGGGCGTATACACTACGCTACAAAAAGGCATCAAGTGCTACAAACAAACGCGAACAGGCAGCTAGGTGACGGAGAAAAGAAAAAAAAACTTTGTGGGAATACAAGCGGAGAACGTTATTACAGCTTGCGCATGCGCTGAGTTCAGTATGTGCTACTCCAATGGAATCTACGGATTCACAGATTTGTATCTGCATCTACTGCGCTTGTGTTAGGTTGAGTCAAGTTGAGTCAACTATTGTGTCTGCGACATGTGTATTGTGTATTCTGACTTTGTACAGAAGCCACTTGAGACTAACACATTCTTAATTGCCCGTTCAAGACTAGTCATTAATAAAAATAATATTGTTTTGTATTTATATAAAATGTACAATGTCTTTCAATAAACAATAAGTTTTGCAAAAAATGTATTTTTCTAGACTAAAAAAATTAAAACACAGTTTTCAGTGGGGTGCGGGAGATATATTTCCAGATTCAATGGGGTGTGACTCGCTAGAAAGGTTAAGAAACACTGGTCTAAAATAACGGTATGCTACAGTCAACAATATTTATATATAAATAACAAAAATAACAATAACAACAATAATGAAGAATGATTCCTCAGATGCACACAGAAGGAACATTACTGATTTTTTATTGGTTTTTATATTTCCACTTACCCACCCTCCTTGCTGTGCATACCCAAACATTACTTACTGTCTATATGTCCTCTTTAAAGTGATTTTAGTAATGCAGTTACAGATAGTAATTGTAGTATCATGTTTTTACAGTTATCTGAAATTGACTCTTAATGATCTCATTATTTCTTCTGCATTTCATTCTTAATTTTTTTTTCTTGGACCACAAACAATGCTAATTTTGGGTGGACCTAGTTCTCTCCCAGTGTAATTCCTTCTGTCCCACTAAAATTTGTGATTTACTTTGTTTGAACTCTACTTTCTTGTTAAGCATCTTGAACAAGTTAGGGGTTTGGCTTGGCTTCTCTCATAGCCACATTGATAGCTAATTTGCGTGCTTCCAAAAGAAATGGTTTACTATAACTGATCTTAATATCAAATTCTGGACAAGGTATATAAAAGAGGCATTTGTTTTCGTCCTAGCTGCAGAACTTTTTTCCTTGACTTTTCCAATAATCATGATGTTTCTGTTTCTCTATGATCTGCCATTCATTCCTAACATGTTTTCAGTTCTTTTTGGCCTTTTTAACTCTACAACTTTCCAACAGTGAAATGTTCCCTCTTTCCTTAGAAAATGCCTATCTTTTTCTCTTGATAAAGGATAGCTTAAAATATCACAAAATTTAAGGCCTTGCATGCTCTAAAATGAACCATGCATATTCAGTATTTATTTCCTAATCAGCTATCCCCAATTTTTTGAAATTATCCCCCCCCCAAAAAAAATTAAGAACTAAAGACATGGAAATAAAATATCAGTAAGTAAATAAAGTGCTATTTATACAACATATTCAGTATAGATAGTTGCTAAAAACCAAAAATTGTCATTTGTTGGTACCTGAGATAATGCAGAGTTTTGAAAATTTGAAATAAAAGAAAAATCGTTAGATTTCCACTTAAAAAGAGAAGTGCATAAAGCATACACACAACAGAATTTAATCCCCTCTTCATTAAAAAAATTACAGTTTTATAATAATAATTTTTTAAAAACACAGCTATTTATTTTACACAAAATGAAACTAAAGCATACACAATTATCATTGCTATTATTTAAACATTTCTCAAGCAATTTGTTTTAAAACTTTAGAATGTTAGATGTCCTAGTAAGTCCCTCTTCCCTCAAAATAAACAAAGTAATTACTTCCTGATCAGTTGCACAGTTTTGTTGTTCTAATTTCTTTTTTCACTATTGCTCACAGAAAATTATGAATTTATTTAGAATTCAACTTTCTGCTATGTTTTTTCCATAGCAATACTTCAAATTTTAGTTACACATCTTTTGTCAGAAAAGCTAAAAGGAACAAATGTTGGTTTTATGTTATTTGGTATGCATTCTTATTTGAAATGACCTTGGCCATGTTTCCGCGCAAACTTACTACGGGGCGGAGTTGTGCTTGGCAACACAGTTTGGACTGTTGTTGCATTTGTTAAGGTGACACAATGGATGCTGATTGTGAGCAAAGAGTGAACAATAAGTTCTGCATTAAGCTCAGGGAAACCCCTAGTGAAGTGTGGAACATAATTAAGCAAGCATACACAGCCGAGGCACTTTCAAGAAGTCATGTTTTCGAGTGGCACAAAAGGTTTCGTGAAGGCAAAGATTCAGTGCAAGACTATCCCACAGTTGGTTGGCAGTCTATAGCATATACCGATGCAAATGTGGAAAGTGTAAGGCAGTTATTGGAAGACTGTGCATATGATATAAGAACTGAATTTTAATCATGATGCGTGTCATAAGATTTTATGTGAAGACTTAGGGAAACGGGAACTTAATGCAAGAATCGTCCCTCATTCACTAATGGATGAACAGAAAGAGGAAAGGAAGAATTTCTGCTGAACTATTGGATAGAGCCAGACATGATCCCACATTTGTGTCAAAGATTATTGTGATTTTTTCTTGTTTCCATGAGTTTTTACTGACTGAAAGGAAAGCTTCATCAATATTATTGCAGACATCCAACGGGCAAATGTGACAAATGAGCTTTCAAGCATCGCAGTTGAAGATTTTCCTGTTTGCTTCCAAGACCTCCGGAATGTTGGGAGTTGTGTATAGATATCCAAGGACACTACTTGGATACCTCTGATAGCAGCTAGTATCTTTACTTTGATAAATGCAAGTTTCTGTTTTTCAAGCCCTTTGCCCTGGAACTTTTCTGACAAAGGATGTAATCTTTTTTTTTTTTTTTTTTTTTTTTTTTTTTTAATAAAGGAGCAGCAAACCTTGATACTGGTGAAAAGCTTTTGATGACTATTCTGATGATACATTCAAAATGTGTGCCAACTTGAAAATATAATCATGATTATTAGTCGTTCACTATAAATAATTCTTTTTCATGAAAAAATTAATGGCCGACTCTTTATCATTTAGTGACTGTCATATCACATAAACCACCTTCGCTTCTTTGTCAAAATCTTGTATGAAATATGTCTCATTCAAAACATGTTCAGTTTAGGATGCCGGATGCACTATATGATGAAAGAAAATAAGAAAGTAAGACTATGTTTGATATGTTTGTACACATTTAGACTACTGCCCCACAAGAGACGATCATCAAATTCGAATTAGTACAATTTTGCTCAATTAAAACAGCACAGAGTTAATCTTTGGGTATAGGCACAAGTTTAAAAACTGTAGGCAATACATTTATTTAGTGGTAAATAAAAAGGTGATAATCAAAAGTAGTTTGCATTGAATAAGGAAATCTGCTCCTTGTAATTTTTCAAAATGTCACCAAAGCCATCCACATTTCACTGCTGTCGTCTGGGAGGCAGTGCAGATTTCTGAACTGCCTCCTATATGATAGTCTACTATTGCTACTATTAATACTACAATTAAACATACAAGTTTTATTGTCTACTATTACTACTATTAATACTACAATTAAACATACAAGTTTTATTGTACATTTAACCAAACACATTTATCATTATTATAACCTCATCATTAAAATAAACAGCTTTTCTTTTGCTCATTTAGTAACTAAAATTTTTATACATGAATATTTTCTCAAAATTCAGCAGTTTAAAGTTGTTCAATTTTTAATTTACACAATTTAGAACACAAAATGAACAACATATTATACTTCACTATTAGAATGGTAGTCACTCATATATTCTGCACAAGCCAGGAATGCTTTTGCCATAATAAATATAGTTTGAAATAATTAAATTGTCAAGTAAATATATTTTAGAAGTGGTGTTGACTTCTTTTTAACAATTAATCAAATTACAAACACAAAAGTAAAGCTTCAGACAGAAATTAATGTGATTTTCATAAATATATACTTTACATGCAAATTGCTTTTTCACATTCACATACAAACCATACTTATAAATACTACACCACAGATTATTTATCAATTGTTTGCAAACTGATCATGTGTTTTACTTGTAATAAGGAAGGTTAAATTAAAATAAATAAATAAAAAAGAAAGAAATTTACATCACACCCTTTATTAATATTTGATTATTTTTCTAGTATTTGCTCACACCACATTAACATAATACACAAAAAACAACTGCTTTGAGATACGTCTTTTTCATGTTAATGATTGAAAAATGTCTGCATTTATCTCAACTAACCTTGTTGATTACATAACAAATTAATAGTAAATGAAACTGTTATAGGTTACCAAATTCCATGCAGCAATAACACAAAAGAATTTTCTTTGAATTATTTTGGTTTCAAATTAAATGAGTTTTGAAAAATAACATACTAAATTAATATCCCAAATTCATATTCAAAATCAATACAAAAAGCGTAATTATAAAAGCATGTAATAGAGTTAAAAATTGAGCAAATGTTCAATGTCTTGATTATTAACAATATGAAAATAAGCAGCCATATAGAACTACAGATAAACATCTACATCCATGAATCTTTTATTTAGAACTTTATAAAGTATTAAATAAAAAATATCAATGAAATTAATAAACTCTAAAATAAAATCTTTCTTGAATATGGCATAAATACTGGCTAAAACATAATTACATATGGGTGCCACTACAGTGAAACTATGCATAACTTACAAAACTTTGAATTGAAAATCTGGTTGACTTAACTCTACTTCATAAATGTTTATATAAAAGGTATTTACTAACATGGCAAGCATTATTTAAGAACTTACTAAAATATGATGATAATATTTTAAGAAGAAAGTTTTTCTAATGATAAAAATAAATAAATTCTGAAACAATACTTACCTGTAGTCAAAGGATTCTGTTTTAAATACTCTCTTCTTTTATTGATATTTGAAAGAAGATACTGCTTAAATTGAGCTTTTAACTCCCGAGTTTTCTCTAAACCACCCAATGAGAAAATAGCCATGAAATCCAATGGCAGTTTCAATAACATCAAAGCTTTATGCAACTTTTGAGAAAATCTATCTCGAACTTGATAACATTCATCCTAATAAAACAGAAAATATACTGGTAATATACAATGACACCAGCATATGGCACATATTTTATTTAACACCAAACAACAATTTAGTTATTAAGTACACATGTAAAAAATGTAAAAAATAATATATATAACTAAGCATCATCATCTTTTTTTTTTTTTAAATCTGGCAAAAAAATTTGTCATATAAACCACGTTCATTATCTTACAATTATTATATGCAAGTGGAAATGAGAAGTGGGAATTGGTTAATGGCTTTAATATATATTATATACATAGATAATGTTTGTTTGGGAATAGTTTAATGACTTTAATATATATAAAATGGGGGATGAATTATTGTGGGTGCCCTGCTAGATCAAAAGTGCTTTACTAATGAATATAACTATATGGAGGGTTATATTGTGAGCTCAATGCAGCATAAGCACTGGCAGCTATGGGCAGTACATGACTATCGATGCATAATACACACATACATTGTGCACATTAACATACATGAGTTTTTTGTGTAAATGTTTTTCACTCATTCTTAACAAAGCATTTCATCACCATCAATTTATCCCACATGAGAGCTTGAGCATGGTAACTGCACTAAAGAGTGTGTTGGTCCGATGAACTGATGTTTTTGTTATATCATGCCAATAAGCATGTGTTTGTTGGGGAACAACATATGGCAATGGACCCTTCAATGCATAATGATCTGTGAATGCAGTAAAAGCACTGGTGGAAATACCTAAATGATGTAGAGATGCATATGGAGCTAATGCCCTTATTTAGGGACTGTTTTATAATATTTCTTGTGTATTGGAACACATTTATCCCATGATGACCACATGTATCCTACAAACTTCTGGAATATTTCAAGTACACACTGCCACTGATGAAGATTTAAAAAAAAAAAAAAAAAAAAATTTAAGAACTGACCCAGCTATCTAATCTAATCTTATGCAACAACAAATTTATTGGCCTTTCTTAAGATCTTCCCAGTCATGGATTATACAGCAACATCTGTAGGCTCAAAATAAATACTTTAATGAATTGATTCACAAACTATAACTATGAAAGATGTTGGTCTGTTTTGTCAGCCAGAATCCAAATATACTATTTGGACAAGATAAACTGGTACACCATTCAGACTCCAGCTGATGAAGAAGATAGGCTATTAAAGGAAGCTAATCAGATTTATTTATATATACATATATATATAATTTAAAGTAAAGTAGAAAGAACAAACGATAAAAGACCTATGTGGTCAAAAACTTTGCGCATTGTGCTGCAAAATTAAAAAAAAAATTAAAAGAAAAATCCTAGTACAAACTCTAAAAAGCCACTGAAATAGTGTAGTTCCATGAAAACTTTAACATAAGCAAAATAAGTTGCAATGAAATATGTTAAAAGAGAAAAATATAACATTTGATTATTTACAAGTAAAAATCAATACTAATAGTAAGCAATATGCTAAACTAATTAAGGTATATTTAAAACATAGTCAGAATATTAACTAATTATTCGAATTAAAAATAAAAATTAAGAAGCGGTAAATGGCAGATTAGCCCAATTTGAAGTTCATTAAGGCATGTCAGGGGAAATATTTTTTAATGAATTTCAAACTAAGCTAACTCCATCACGCGTTTCGCCGAAACAGACAATTGAAACTGTACGTGACACAAATAATCATGTTTAGTTCTTAAAATTCAAAATGGTCTGAAATAACCAATTCCTCTAACAACAAATGGCAAAGTCAATCAATCACCTTACATCTTAATTATGAAACACATTATGATGATTTGACAATTTATTTATATCAAAGTCAAATTAAATTAGTTAAAATTAGAATAATAAGATTATCATTAATTGTTAACTAATATCTTAATTTTGTACAAAAAATAAGGTAAGTTAAAAAAGATGACCCTTTCATCCACTTGAAATACATTAGCTTAACCCTTAATATCAATAAAAATGTAAAACCTGTCTTCCAAGATAATATTTAAACAATACCTGCTTTAAAATTTTCAAATATTTCTCAAAAGAATACTTAAAATATGAAACTGTCTCTAAAATATACATAGTAAAACATAACATATCAGCATGTGATTACCATCATTACTTTATTTTGTGTAAATGCTTCATTTAAATACTGCCTTCTTCACAAAGAAATTAACTGCATGAATTTTGACAACACTATAATAAACTACCGATTTAAAAGGTAAAGGGCGAAATTTATGTCAACTTTGTTTATATATATTATTTTTTTTAATATCATACTAACACAACTTACATTTATAACAAGAGCCAAAACCTGAAATTGTTCTAACGAGATAACTTCAGCATAGCTTGGTTCCTGACATAACTTTAACATACAACAAGCAGCCGTTAATCGTAACCATGATTTTTCAGCAGGCCTGTCAAAAAATATGTTAAATTAATTCCTCTTCAGATTGCAATTTTAAATATTTAAAGCATTTCAACTGATTACAGGAAACACCTAAAATGTAATTTAAAATAATTTTTCAAAGAGTAAAAATACATAAATACTCAAAAACAATGAATAAAAAACACCTCAAAAATAAAAATATAAGACTTTATATATATTAGCTATACATATATAAAAAAAATTCAAAAAATATTTCAGATGTTTAAATTTCTGGAAACTATTGTATCTTGACCCTATACAATTTTATTTATCTAGGACATTTCAGCACCACATAATAATAAAAAAAATTCACAATGTATTAAATGGTAGAAGCAAGTAACTTCAAATTAAACTCTCAAAAAAGTGTTTGTTTATATACCATTACACCTTGCCATTATTACCTTGTATATAATGGAATTTCGGGAAATCCAAATTCTTATATTTAAATAGATAATATGACTTTTGTTACCGAGTCACAGATATTTTTTGAAACAGGAGGTATTAAAAATGTGCTATATCCTTAGCGGGATTTGAACTCTGGACCTCTCGAATACATGTCGAGTATATCTCCAATTATGCCATAAAGGCATAAGGAAAGGGTCACCTTAATTCTTTATAATTAAGCTGATTATACATCCCAATTTTCTGGGACAGTCCCAAATTTTCAGTCCCTGTGCCAATTTCTTACAACTTGTTTCCTGGTCCTGAATTGTCTTGAAAAATAGTAGTGCGAGAATGTAAAAGTTTAAATGCATATTTTTATTTAAGTAATATAGACTACAAATATAGAATACAAGCCTAAGAGATGCATGCCATACCAGCCACATAAGCAAGGGATTCGCCATCTAGTGTTTGCCTCAGAAAAATTGTAGTGGGTCTATTTCTCATTGCTGTAGTTCTCTCTCCAATATACATGGCATTTCTGCTCACAACTCACAGTTGCTGTTCAGATTACAGACAGCTTTGCAAATTTCAATTGATATACTAATTTGATTGTGATTTGAATTTAAAATAAATACATATATTTTTTCATTATCAACAGTGCATTATACACATTAGTATGTATCATCTTCCTACATGGCATCTAAAAATAATTCTTTTGTCATTTGCTGAAATTTCATTGCAGATATATCCACCTAAAATCATCCCCCCTTTTTTTTTTTTTTTGAGAGGGAGGGAGGGGGGTCATGCTTAGATCATAAAACTTTTACAGCATTGTCATTTTGATTTTGCATAAAGGTAAATTTTTTTTTTTTTTTTTTAATCTGCTAAAATAATTATGTTCCTTGTTTGGCAACGACAGGTAGTTTTTAATTATAAACAGTGCATTATGCACGTGCTAAGTGTATGTTTTACTGCAGTTTAATTTATAATTTATTTTTACCATTAATTTTTTAGTAATGGTAAGGGAAAAAATGTGTACATTTAAACAAAACCCTACAGAAGGAATACCTGCTTATTGAAGAAACTATAAGTGATCCCAATGTATGGTGCAATACATGTTCTTCAAAATTTTCAATAAGCCATGGTAGACATACAGATATTAAACTTCATATAAATAGTAATACACATAAAATATCAGGCTATACTGTTGCTTCTAGCTTATCATTAAAGAATTTCTTCAGACAGGAGAAAATGGGTGATAAGGAAGAAGAAGGAGTTGTAAAAGAAGGTAATTTTGCATACCATATTATTTGTCAAAACCAGAGCTTTAGGTCTATGGACTGTACATCCAAGCTGCTTCAAGTGGCATTCCAGACTAAATTTAATGTGCGTGAACCAAGGCTGAAGCAATAATACCCTTAAGCTTTAGAGTAAAAAATTTAGAATTTAAACCCTTATCTGGTAAACATCAGATACTGTCAGCAATTATTTAAGCACTTGTCTTGAAGAAAATTATTTAAAAAAAAAAGTTACCAGTCTTTGTGGCGATAATACAAATTCCAACTTTGGAGGAGCTAACATAAATGGAGAAAATGATGTTTTAGTTAAACTGAACTGAAACTTTAACCATGATGTAATTGGAGTCGGATGTGCAGTGCACATTATCCATAACACTAAAAGAACATCAGCTGGTGTTTTGCCACCTGATATAGAAACGATTATTTATAAGCTATACTTTAAATCTTATACTGTTAGAATAGAACATTGAAAAATTTCTGCAACTTTGTAGAAACTGATTTTCAATGATACTACGGCAGGGGTTCTCAACTGGTGGTAGGGAAGAGAAAAATAGGTGGTATGCATAGAAGCAAAGTATTTTCAACTATTAAATTCAAAAATTAAAACCTCAACAACTTGATTGAGGTTTTTCTCTAACATTCGTAAATTTATGCAATCTGAGTTTTATTCAAGAGTGGGTGAGGTAGTAGTACTTTGTAGTGGTTGTACTAAAGGTTTTCAATTTTTGTTTAGATGGGGCGCATTAGTCAAAAGGTTGAGAACTGCTGTACTAAGGCATTCACAAATAGGATCCATTAGCATTACTTCTTGCAACTGAAAGGGTACTCCAAATGTTTTTACCACTAAAAGCTCATTTTCAATCTCAAGAAAAGTATCCCATGCTTATATTTAAATTCTTTGAAAACCAAGTGACAGAAGCTTGGCTACATTTTATTAACACTCAGGCTTCAATATTTCATAAAGTTATTCCAACCAAAAATCAAACTGTGTCTGTATTCATGTTACAATACGAATTATTGAATTTTGAGAAGCTAATGTTTAATTTTATCAGACTGTTTTTACTTATTTGGAGAAATGGACAAAAAATTATTTCAAGAGATGGCAATGTACAACTGGATCATACTAAATGAAACCAATTCTTTAAATCGAGCTGAAACAGCCCTTTCTTAAATTAATAAAATGACACCAAATCATAAATTATTGAAAATTGATTATATATGAGGAATATGTTTACCTTGAACAAATCATGGAAGGAAAAATATTGGAATGGTCAAAAACTAAGATGCGCCGAGTTCAAAGCTGGATGGAAATAACTGCATATTTTTAATAAGAAACAAATTCCATGTTTAAATATTTTAAAATTGCCAGTTCTTTTTTCTTTTGTCTTCCTGGCACTAATGCTGCAACTGAGTGAGTATTTAGCATTATGAACAGCTTTCAGACTAGTGATAAAACACATCTTAAAGTAGGCACTTTGAAGGGTATGTTAATCACGAAAATCAGCACGGACTTAATAATTTAGAAGGGTTACAAATTTATTATTTTAAAAATGAATACTGAGTTTTGATTTATAAATGTATATATTGACCTACATACCACCTCCATCACAATAACAATAAAATCATTTTTTATAATAATTTTAAATAATTTATTAAAAAAATATTTAAAATATTATACATAAATAGCATCCCAAATTTCAAACTTTGAAATCTGGTCACCTTATTTATAATGTTACAAATTATTGAATATACAGTAAACAAAAATTAAGCATTTATTTAATACACTAGAGAAAATTCAAGTACTTTTAAATGTATAATTTAAGTTTTTTTTACTCCATGAGAGGAAGTTAGAAACTATTACACAACAAACAGTAATAGCAATATTCAAAATGTAATTTTTTTATTTATTTTTTATTTTTTAAAGAGAGAAAGGAGGAGAAGAATAAGAGAAAGAGGAATACACTTTTTGAACAAAAATACTGAATTAACTCTAGATCTGATACTGCTCTCATATATAAAATTAAAATGCACTATTAAAAAAATAATTATTAAAATGGATCATTACAAAACCACACACTTACGACACATGTCCTTTTTCCATTAAATCACCTCTATGTAAAATCACAGTAGTCAAGAGACGTAATGTCGATACTGCTGACTGAGCAGCTGTTTTTAATCCCAGAAGCCACCGAACAATCATTTTCATGCCCTCAACCTATATATTATAAAATATTTTAAACCATAAAAACATTATAATATAAAATAAAAAGTTTATTAATACCAACAATAGGAAATAATACTAAATCAAAGAAGAATCGTAACAGACAGTTTGAAATATTCCAAAATACAATTTTGTAGTATAGAAAGGTTTTTTTTTTTTTTTTTTTTTACATAACATTATACATCTTAGTAGTACATCAATACGCATCATTAGTCTCTTCCAGATTAACTTTTTCAATAAAAAATAATCCCTTGTGGTGAAAAATGCTATTGCTATTATTATAAGACTGTTTAATAATAAAATATAATACAGTAAGTGAAATATCTACGGTATATGAATGATATGAATGAAGCACTGCACATGATACTGAATATATATGTTTTTCTGCTCTCCTGAACAAAAGCAATTTTCAACATGCTCTAATATGTCTGTGTTTGTTTGGGAATTACTTTTGGCTCCTTCACAGTATTAACCAATACTGTCTCTCTCTCTATCTTTTTTTTTTTTTTTTTTTTTTAAATCTTAGACACCATTGTACTTGGCATATGGTATGGTGGAATAGCCAAGTCCTGGATACACATGCCACCTTCGTGCTTTTCAACATCTCATTTTTCATTTCCAAGGTGATCCCAACAATTATCTTTGCTATTTGACTCTTCTCATTAACTTTCCTAAATCTTATTGATAGAGAATTGAAAAAAAATTACAACAGAAAACATAAAGTAAATTGCAAATTCAGAGTTATAGCACAAGTTGTCAGTAAGAGGCATACTGCTGCACACGAACAGTTGTAACATTGTTTCAAACATGGTGAACAAGTGGAGAGCATGCAGTTTTGACTCATTAAAAGTTGAGTCATATTCCAAACAAAAATTTTCACATCCAAACAGAATGTATTTTAAAGCAGAATATATCGAGATACCACTGTATGGAATAGAAGCTGCAGAACCACAGAAATAGTTTAATCAATTCAATTTGAAGAGTGATTTATACTCATTAAGCTTTGACATATTTTAGCAGCTAATAATCATATATTCTTGGGACTAAATTTAAAATAGGTCTGGCAAATATGCAGTTTTTAAAATCACTTTTGTTACTTGAAACCTTTTTACAGAATTATAACATGGTTCTAACTCTTCAAGAAATACCATGAACACACAAACTAAATATATGATTCTGAAGCAGTGAGCTAAAGCCCATTTTCACACAGCTGCAATAAACATGTTGGTATCAAAGATGCAAAGTATTTTTCAAAAATACAGGCAAAGTTATAACGAAGAGTGGCTGTGTTTACTTCCTTGAAAATTTTCAGAAAATAAAGTCTTATGTACTGTGTGCAAATGTAATTTTCCAGTTGCTCATGCTAGTCGTGACAACTACAAGTGGGACATGCAGTCTAACAAACACCAAGACGATATGAAAATAAAATCTGCTTCAAAGACAATGTTACTATTTTTTGCAAAATAATTCCTGTAGCAAAACATACCATAAAAAAGTTGACCTTATCAAGTCTGGAACAGTAACATAGCAAAATTTAACTTTATTTTTTATTGTTTTAATCTTTTGTTTTTTGTCAAAAATTGTATAGAATGTGTCTTTTTATGCAGCATAATATCCAGTTGATGCTTTGAATATCTTCCAATCTCAGAAAGGTTCATGTGTTAAGTATTCAGTTAAGTATTACCAAAAGCTCTTCTCTCAAAAGTTTGGTATCTCTGTACCAATAATAATAATAAGAAGAAGAAGAAAGAGAGAGAGGAGGAAACAGGGACAAGACAATTGCAATCACAATTCAGATTATTTTTGCTATTGGCATAATAACTGCTCATAACTGCATGTAAATAATGAAATTCCTATCCATTTTTGGAGAGGGGCAGATTTAAATGGATAATAAAACTATTTGCAAAATAAATAAAATGTTAAAAACTTTTTTTACCTTCACTTTTGTTTCTTCAGGAAGCATGTCAAAATCAATCCACATTGAATCATCTCCTCTAGTTATTTCCTGCAAAACATATTTAGATGAAAAATAATTTATGCTTATTTAACTAGAAAACATCACTGCTATGTATTATGAAATGTTATTACATGTTACTGATACATAAAAATCATTTTAGCATTACTTTTTTAAATGTTTATCATCATTAAAATAACTATTCTTAAAGAAATAAATTCTCTTAACAGAACTATTTATTAATTAAGACACAATAACACGCCGAATAAATACTAATTCAGAAGTCAAACAACAAAAATCAGCGTTATACCTACAAAATTTTCACAGGACTAGTTTCGATGGTTTACCGAACCATCATCTTCAGCTGCAAAACCGCAAATGAACAAGATAGGAAATAATGATTAGATAAGATAAGAAAGCCTGGACAAGAATAAGCAAGTGGCGCCATCTGTTGGCGAAACCAGAACTAAAACATAATTTCTCTAAAAGCCGAAGGCAAATTTGGATTGGAATTAGGATCGTTAACTAGAACAGAAAGATTTTTATTAATGTGAAATGCCTCTAGAAAAATCCAGTTCTCCAATGGAAGATGTTTTTTGAATAATTTTGGCAGCAGAAAAATTGAAAGTGTGATTTTCGGACCAACAATGTTGAGCAACAGAAGACTTATGTGTTCCTTTTTTCTAACATATGCCTCGTGTTCCTTTGAGCGAATTTTAAGGCTCTCCTAGTTTGGCCAATGTAAATTAAACCACACTGGCAAGGAATCCTATAATACCCCAGGAATTCATCCGGAATGGGGTCCTTGAGTATAGAAGTTGGAATTTTATTGATGGAGAATAAAACAACCCGAAAGTTAAACTTCTGCAAAATATGTGCACTTTATAGCTAATTGATGGAAAGAAGGAATGACAACAGAATTTTTATAATCTCCTAAAATAAGGTGTGGCTTTTAGTGTGTTGGGATGAGAATTTTTTAAACTGCTTGATTAATAATGTTGGGTGAAAAGCCCCTGTCAATAGCTATTGCTTTTAAATAATTTAGTTCTTCACAAGGGCTAGTTTGGAGGAGCAAACTTGAAGAGCACGGAAAACATAGGAATAAAATGAAGCTAACTTTTGTTTAGTCGGATGACATGATTTAAAGTGTGGTGGAAGGCAAACCGATGAAGGTTTACGGTAAAACTGTAGTACTGAAGTTGGATTGTGTTACGTGTGCAGAATGTCGAGAAACGGAAGAGAATTGCAAGTCTCAAGTTCAAAAGTGAACCGAATAGCAGGATCAATAGAATTCATTGTTGAAAGAACTTTATTTAAATCATCTTTATTACCTTCAAACAGGGTAAAAGTATCGTCTACGTAGTGGAACCATGCCGGGAAGTTTTAAAGTTTCAAACAATTTTGATTCATAATTAATGCATGTAGATATCAGCCAGGAAAACTGATTTGTTTTCCCAAAATAATCCCTCAAGTTTGCAAACTGAGGGATTTAGCCATGGGAAACCCCCTCAGTCCCATCCTGGCTGATATCTACATGCATTATTATGAATCAAAATTGTTTGAAACTTTAAACTTCCCGGCATGGTTCCGCTACGTAGACGATACTTTTACCCTGTTTGAAGGTAATAAAGATGATTTAAATAAGTTCTTTCAACAATGAATTCTATTGATCCTGCTATTCGGTTCACTTTTGAACTTGAGACTTGCAATTCTCTTCCGTTTCTCGACATTCTGGTCACACGTAACACATCCACTTCAGTACTACAGTTTACCGTAAACCTTCATCGGTTTGCCTTCCACCACACTTTAAATCATGTCATCCGACTAAACAAAAGTTAGCTTCATTTATTCCTATGTTTTCCGTGCTCTTCAAGTTTGCTCCTCCAAACTAGCCCTTGATGAAGAACTAAATTATTTAAAAGCATAGCTATTGACAGGGGCTTTTCACCAACATTATTAATCAAGCAGTTAAAAATTCTCATCCCAACACACTAAAAGCCACACTCTTATTTTAGGAGATTATAAAAAATTCTGTTGTCATTTCCCTTCTTTCCATCAATTAGCTATAAAAGTTGCACATATTTTGCAGAGTTTAACTTTCGGGTTGTTTTATTCTCCCATCAAAAAATTCCAACTTCTATACTCAAGGACCCCATTCCGGATATGAATTCCTGGGGTATTTATAGGATTCCTTGCCAGTGTGGTTTTAATTTACATTGGCCAAACTAGGAGAGCCTTTTTAAAATTTCGCATCAAGGAACATGAGGCACATGTTAGAAAAAAGGAAACACATAGTCTTCTGTTGCTCAACATTGTTGGTCCGAAAATCACACTTTTCAATTTTCTGCTGCCAAAATTATTCAAAAAACATCTTCCATTGGAGAACTGGATTTTCTAGAGGCATTTCACATTAATAAATCTTCTGTTCTAGTTAACGATCCTAATTCCAATCCAAATTTGCCTTCGGCTTTCTTTTAGAGAAATTATGTTTTAGTTCTGGTTTCGCCAACAGATGGCGCCACTTGCTTATCTTGTCCAGGCTTTCTTATCTTATCTAATCATTATTTCCTTTGTTTCATTTGCGGTTTTGCAGCTGAAGATGATGGTTCGGTAAAACCATCGAAACTAGTCCTGTGAAAATTTTGTAGGTATAACGCTGATTTTTGTTGTTTGACTTCTGAATTAGAACTATTTATTACTACATGTAACATATAAAAGTGCAAATTAGGCTTTATGCATACAGAATATATTGAAATAATTTAATAACCAGTTAAGACAAAATTATTTTATAGGTTTCTGCATCCTAAAATTCAGTTTCTGAAAATTTTTTTTTCTTGGATTAAAAGAATATAAATCATGTTTTAGTTATTGCTTCATAATGCAATATGAAGAAAAGGATGAATACAATATCAAGAGAATCTAAAACACCTCTCCCATTCATTTAGTTGCACAGACCACTCAGATATTCTCTTTTTTTTTAGTTTATCTGTAATTATATTCAAATTTGTCAGCACCTTGATGTAAATGAAATTTAATGCCTAGTTAAAAATCTTACATGTAACTTGCAGACAGAAAGTTGATGCTCAAAAGTAAGACCAAATAACTGATCTAGGTAGCTGCCTCACAACTCACACTTTGTCTTATAGCTGATAAGATAGATCACTGCACGTAAAATTGCTTTTAAGATAATTTATTCTATCAATTTAATAAAATTTTCATCTTTCGTGTAAAATTATTTAACAGAACAGAATGCACTGAAGTGTAATATGGGCATATACTTACAAAATCCACCATTAAGAGATCTTTAACCACTACTTTTGAGACAATGCTCTTTATTTGCATTCCAAATAAATCAGGACAAAGAAAAGCTATATGACCAAGTGATACTAGTGCTGTGCGAAAATATTCAGACTGCAGCGTAAGGCTCATTTTTAAACGCTAAAAAGGAAAATCAAGAAATAATTCATTATAATTAATTTTCAATAGAGAAAATTAATTATAATGACAATTAATATCATAAAATCAAATATTATAGAGTTATATTAAAATTAATAAATAAAAAAATTGCTATATTTTATACTTACATCAATTATTTGACCAAATACACGTTCTTTATTTGTAACCATAACATTTAGGCATCCCACTGCATGTTTTGCTTGCTTTACAGTTCCATTTTCAATGAAACGTTCCAACAATGGCTGCAAACGACTGAAATAAAAAATTTATTGTGTTTAGAAAAGATATAGCCAGTTTATATTTTCATCCAAAATATTCTTGGTAAATTAACACATTTATACATTTCTTTTTCTTTCTTCTTATACAATTTTTAGTGCTTTATAGAAGTTAGTTCCTGCATCTAAAACTGTCCATGTGTGGCTGCTGTAAATTAATACATTCAAAATCAATAACTGCCTAGTATTCAATTTAAAAATATGAAGATGAGCTATTATGTCCTTTCTGTTTCACTTCAGCTTGCAAGTAGTCCCAGTATGTTTAGAAAGCGATTTAAATTGGATCCATAAATTGGAAGTATAATATTGCAATGACTGATGTTGTTTCATAAGAAATCATTCTAGTTCTTTTCTTGATAACAGAAAGTTTCAGACTCAGAGTAAATGTACTATAAATACACACAACACATAACAAACAAAACAAAAATTCTTAACAAGACTTAGAATAATAAAGCTAGCATGTGAAAGTAAAACTTGCAAAATGCATTTCAAAGGCATTTGCAGGATGTGTTCTGAAGATACAGACTTTCAAAATGAATCCTTAAAATTTTATTGACATTACAAAAATTATCATTGTTTAATTTTTTGCCTTCTCTTATTACGGTGAATGTATTGAAAAGTAACTGTTACAAAGCATTTGATTTAATTTTATTGATGGTCCTTTTTACCTTACCAAAGTTATGCAGACTGTAATCAAACTGAAGGTAAAGATCCTAATACTATACTCAATCCAAAAGTAATAAATAGGCACAAGATGCCATCTAGTGGTCTTTAAAAAATGGTTCAGCTTAAAATGCACGTATGCATCAACCGTCTCTTGAGCTCACTCACATATATGAGATGCCGATCTGGAAAGGTTTAACCATGCTGCCACTGACATTTGAAGCTTTTGATTACTGGGGAAGGGGGATATTTCTCAGAAAAAAGCTTTAACTTTACTTCATTACGGAGCCAAGAAAGTTGGAATAATGCAATTTTCACTGACCAAATGCTGTTCTATACAAAGAAAAATTACACTTGGCCGAAAGGAAACTGGTAAAATTTTTCTTGTGACTTGTTATATCAGAACAGTTGTTATACTGACAGTCAAGCAAAAGCAAGTTACTTCACATGAATCCTAACATGTGAGTTGTAATTACCATCTTGAAAAAGCAATATAGTTCTTTTAATTTAAAAATGAACAGCTTGAGACCTGCACTGAGGCAAAGTAATGGCTAAGTTAGAACTTATTTATCATTAAAATGTATTGAAAATAAGATGTATTATTGCAATTAACCAGCTTATGTTAATGCATGAAAAAAAGGGGGGTCTATCATTATCAGTAAAATCAGATGCTCCACAGCAAATTATTACAGTAGTTTCCTATGTATGCAGCAGGGAAAACTATTTCAAATGTATACATAAAGAAAGAGAGTGATTTCTTCAGATATTATGCAAATATAAAGGGCAATAAAAAGGGTATGTTAAGATGCACAAATAAGTTTTTTGGAAACAGGAAAAATCAACTGTGCTATTTCCTGGATTCAAATCATGGATTTTTTCCAGTTGCTGGAGAGATATGCTTAATCACTTGTACCACAATAGCATGCTCTAGGAAATGCAACAATTTCTTACAAAGTCACCTATTCCCTACAATATCTGAACATTCTGATATCACTTATCATATCTGTACAAATGGATACACGAACAATGATGCTTCATGTATTTTGCATTTTATTATACATGATTTGAAATGTGTAAAATTAAAAAACTATTTGTCTTCTATTTTGCACCTAAGTATTCAGAATTTTTCTAAAGGTTGATAATGGATTAAAAAAGATTTGAAATCTCTGAAAAGTGCATTGAAAAGGAAACAAGCAGCAAATTGCCATTGGCAATGATATAATTTCATATGATGAAAGATAAATAAGATATAAAACATAATTTCAAAATAATTTCACAATATAAAAGGTAACAGAAATTTGTCATATTGTTACATTTCCATTTCATCATCAGGAAAAATGCATCCTTCCTTTCAAATAATAATAATAAAATCATATTACAAATATAAAACTTAAAATTTTCAGCAGCATAAAAAATAAAAAATTATGAAATTTCAAGTATTTTACATAAAATAACAACTTATTCTCTATTACAGTATCTATAATTAAAAAATTCTGATGTTAAAATCAAATAAAATCTCAAAAGAACAGTATTAACCTTTCAGTGACATGTTAGAAAATGGAAAAGAGTGAAAAAATTGTTTACAAATAATTTTACTATCAAGAATATAAATATTTTCTAATTGATTTACACAGAAAAAGAATTATGGAAGGTACAGATTTAAATGCTGTATCTTTCATAATTCCATTTTATTTTAGTATTTTCTTTAGCAAACATTACTGCATAATTTTAATACATACAAACAGCAATATTTATGCAGTTTGTTGCACTGATGAAAAAGCTTATGTTAAGGTATAAAGATTGTATACCAGTAGATTTAAAATTCAGAAAGTGCTACTTACCCACATATATTTGGGTACTGTCCTTCAAGAACATATCCAATATTAGTAAAGATTAGAATAGTAGTATCCACAGGACCTTCATCTTCTACTCTAAGTATATTTAAAAGTTCTTCAAAAACATAGTTATTACAGAATGCCCCAGGAAATATTGATGAGAGTATCTGAAACATGCAATAAAATACTTACCTTCCAATACTTTTAAAAAACAAAATTTCATTGCATAAAAAATATGAATATTCTGTATACATTTTTTAAATACAACATGCAATACATCTATTTAAAAAAATGCTGATATCTAAGAGATACAGGATCCACTTTTTTTTAATTGAAAAAATACATACCTTAACTCTAACATTATGTGTTTCGGTTTCAAAAATCATTCAATGACCCCAGATGGAATTTTTTAAAGCTCTCATTAAAATAATCACTTAATTAAGCATTTTAGCAATTTTATTCCTTTATTTAATATCAATAATCAGACTGATATTTTGTTAGTTTTTTAAAATCCCATTTTTGTAAAATATGCATAAATATAAGATTGATACATACCATAAACCAAAACTGAAAAAAACTTCTTTTCATTGCTGCCATATGATTCATTTATTTATAGTATCTAAGTTAATATCCACTCGTTTCATGAACAAAGCTTGCTTCAAATGAATCACAACACTATGATTGACTGGAATAGGAATGATTACATAAAAGAGGTATGTACCAATTCACTGTTACCTCATCATCAAAATTAAATTTGATAGATACAGTAAAATTCAGAAAGTTAATGAAAACTTATTTGCAAAAAGGAAAAATGCAGGATGCATTCTTCTCTTACACTGCAACTACTGGAGGATTTTGTCATGAAATTAGAGTATGTTTCTTGTTGCAGTTCCTCAACAAGCTGCTTCATCTAGAAATGAGCCAAAAGCACGTGGAAAGAAATAAGCTAAAATGCACCAACATAGTGCCGAAAATATACCAAAACCAGGTTTTTAATATGACATTTCATTAAAAATTTTGATTAATTTTAGTTTTTAAACAGGCATTTTATTACAATGTTATAGTAAATTAAAAAATCAGTTAATATTAAAAACAAAACACTTTTCCATTAAAAAAATATATTGTAATAGGTTTTTAGTGCAAAACAAGTATTAACAAACCCTATCCAGGTTTCAGAATAAAAATTTAATACAGATTTAATACATATTAATTACATTTAATAGATATTAATTTCTGTAAAAAAATTGTTTTCATTTACAAAAACATTACAATTTCAAAAACAAAATTAATAAATGCATCAAAATTCTTACAAGGTTTTTAAATACAAGAAGAATAACAAATTATAGACAAATGTTCTTTTAAAATTACCAACAACAGCTGAAGTCCTCTCTCAGCAGAATTGAATAAACCTAACTGGATATCAATATCACCAGGACCCATTAAAGAATCTCTTATATAATGCAAAAGTTGTCTGATACCAGCTAAGTCAATCATAACAGGTGCTACACGTTCCAACATTTGCTTTACAATCATGTAAAAACTATTAGTTTGCACTGGAAGGCCAAGTGATTTTAACACTTCTTTCTAAAATAAATAAATTGAAAAAATTAATTAATACTGAATATAAATTAAACAACAAAATAATTATAAATAAGGTGCTACTTTGGTAGACGGTTGCACGGATTTTGGCGAGCAATACGACGTATGGTAAACTCATTGCTGGACAAGTTATTTATGGTAACCAAATACTTTGTTGTCATTTTATTTAAAAAAATAATGTGTTTTATTATGCATAAATTCCGTGTTTTAAATATTATTTATGACTTCTAAATATAGAAAATCAATTTAATTCTGTATTTTTATTTCAAAAAAAAATTTTATTGTTTATGATATTTTATATAATTTTATGTTGTGGATGATGTAATCAATGACGTCATGTTACTTTAAAAGTAATTGATTTTAATAGAAATTTAATGATGTAAACATTATTTATGGCTGTAAATAATAAAATACAATTTAATTTTGCCTTTTTTTAAATGATTTTAGTATGAATGATTATTTAAATAATTTTAATTCTACGCGTGATGTAATCAGTTCCCTGATTGGTTACTGAATATCCGTGCATTACCGCACCATTTTAAAATTTTATTATTCAGCTCTTTGAATTCCTTAGATTTCAAATGGAATGGATATGTCCGTTTCGAAGATGAATGTTGTTATTTATAATTATCATGATTTATTGGTATCGGAATAAAAAAATTGCCATTTGAGACCTTATTTTGACCAACCTGGCTTTCCTAATCAAAGATTTATTTGTTGTTACATGGGTCAGAGGAAATTTATTAAAAAGTTTTGGAGGAAACCTTGCTAATTGCCTCTTCAATGAAGTGCGAGAAATGTGGATAACAGATGAAGATCCTTTTTTTTTTTTTTTTTTTTTTTTACTTATCAAAGATGAAGGTAAATACAAAAAAAGTAGTAAATATTTTTCTTTACTAATTGTACTTCAATTTTTATAAAAAATTAATACACTGTTTCAAATATTCCCGAGATATTTTTTGCCACACATGTTTTGATGTTAAATAATTATATCCTATAGAACTTATTTTAAAGGATTTGAATTTAAGTAATTGAAAAATTTTAATTCTTTTAAACGTTGGTATATGGTTTTTAATTCAATATTCAATTATAATATTTTATTTCAATTATGGGGCCTGTTTTGAGCGGTGTTTTTATCTTTACATGAAAAGTATAATTTAACCTTAGGGGAATTTATACTCTAGTAAATGCAATTATGTACATTGCCAGCCCTTAAAAACATTTTCAACAAAAATTAATCCTTAGGTCATGTAGTTTTTTTTATTTTCGAATATTTTACTACGTGTGAAATACGTAAAAACAGCATTTTTCAAGAGGGCTGACGACTGTAAAAACCGCGCCAACGTAAATCGCCAAAAATCCGTGCATCCATCTACCAAAGTAGTACCATAATTTTAATATCATAGTTCTACGAGACTGCAATAAACTTACTACACTGTGCTCAATTTCAGAACATGCTGCTGATCCTTTTAAAATAGTATCCATATGACCTCTTAATCTATTATTATTTTGAAGAAGACCAAAAAATTTCTTCAAGTATTCCTGGCATTTAATAGGCTCGGGAAGAGTTTCTAAAGGGGGGGGGGAAGACAATGCATTAAGTAAAGTGGAAGTTTAATATTTTAAACATATATATCAGAATTTTAAAAAAATCAGGTCAATATTTAAAACAGTTAAGAAATAACAAATTCTTATAATCTCGTGCAGTTTTTGCATTCCTAGAGCTGAGGACATGTTACAATACAGCATCATTTCTTAATACAGCTTTCAAAGATAAATAAGCAACATAATGTTATTGAACAATATGTATGGCATTCTAAATCTTGAAGTAAAAATAAAACCACAAATCTTTTATTGTTGAATTTTAAACTCTCAAAAAGTTTCTATTGTGGTCTCATCTTTTAACTTCAAATGATTTAATGGCTGCTAAAATCAACTATTTACATTTCAAACATTCTCGAATACCCTTTTTAATATGCATGTGATTTCTTATATATGAAAAATAACATTTAAAGCTATAATTAAAATACAATAAGCTTATTTAAGTTGCAGTAGTCTTACTGCAACTTAAATTTCATATTATAACCATATTATCTGCACAATAGAAGAAAAAAAGTGTAAAACTGATAATGAATATACCATTTTTAGCAAATTTATTATCACAATGCAGGTGAGGGCTTTTTGTTATAAGAAGCCTTTGTGGAATTTTTTATGCATTATTATTATTATTTTTAATGATTAGGGATATCTCCAAACACTCACACAGCTGACCAATTTATCAGCAGAAAATAAATCCAAGGCAAAACTGGTTCAAGAATATTTAAATTAAATAACAATATTTCAGAAATATGCACCAGTTATAAATATATCTTATAAAAAGTAGGTAATAATAAGGTAGCAGATCTTAACAAAGTCATACTTACTAGATAAAATCATAATTTTATTTGCTAAATTTTTCTCTTGATTTTCAGATTTAGGAACTTGGCACAATAATTCAAGAACATCTTTCACATGATTTCTAACACTGGGAAAAAAAAAGGGGGGTGATTTAAGCTTACAATAGAAAAGGTTTAAAAAAACATTATTAGATTCCCCCGCCCCACAGGTCAACAAGTCATTATATTTTTCTTAACATATAAAATAAGTCTTTTTGATTGGTTATTTTAATAAACACACAATAACAAATTTTAGAAAATCTGTACTCTAATGTGAAAATACCTACACTGAAATAAGAGAAACGCACATTTAATTACCATATTTGACGGCATATAAGGTGCACTTTTTTCCCTAAATTTGGTCTCAAAAAAGTTACCTGCGTCTTATATGTGAAGGACACAGGTTAACTTTCAATACTGAATGCTATTTTTAGCACGGATAAGGTCAGACACATAACTTGCTAATGCCATAATTTTGCGCATGCTTGAAATATCTGTCGCCAAAAGACGCCCAAAGCTCGAGCTGATGTCAATTCAACAGGTTCGACGGTCACATTCGTCTATGGAGCCTTCCTTCTTACATAGACTCAGCCAAACTCGTGTCATATCAGTGTTACTCTATATAACATTCGTATTGTGCTTAAAACTATTGTTTAAAAAATACCCTGAAATATGACTACATGAAAAAGATTTTAGTTATACAATCGTATAACAGGAGTGTTAAATTACGCCACAGATGGAAACAGAGCACAGCAAGGCATTTCGTCCCCACCTACTGAAAAAGATTGCAAGAAAATGCACAGATATGAAGAAAAATACTACATTATAGGTTTTTTAATGCACACAATAAACTTCTTTTGAGCTCGTCAATAGGAAATATGGATGAAATTCCATCATCTGATGTACCATCCACAAATGTGAGTATTAAAGGTCTAAATCAATAGCAAAAACACAGGTCATGAAAAACCGATATAAGTAAGTCTAACATGTTGCGATGGCCAAAACACGGCCATTTTCTATTCAAAGAAAAACTTCACGGGTGTAATTTCATGTTCATCGCAAGGCTGGATGGACGAAGTTGGAATGAACTGTGGTTCAGAACGTATGGGGCAGGTTACTTGTGGATGTTAAAAAACCCTCTCTTTTGGTTTTGATCGTTTAGCCCTATAGAATAAAACCATAAGAATAAAGCGAGGGAATTAAAAACCCCGATAGCTCATTCCTGGGCTGACTAGCAATTGCAAGCCTTTAATGTATCAGAAACCTGCATTTAAGGAAAAAGACAAGAACATGGATAGTGGATAGAGAGCCACATCAGAACCTCACACAACCGCATGAGCCTACAATGAAGCCCTCTATCACAATGTGCGAGTGGGTAAAAAGATTGGAGGAGTAAGGCTGAGTAATTTTCAGTCTTAAGAAGTGTGAATCATCTGCTCTTGATGACAGAAATACCATTATTCAAGGTGATCAACGATACGGAACAGTAGTGATGACGATATTCTCGTTTCGATGAGATGATAGTGAAAAGGATTTTATGGTTGAAGGTTTAAAGCCCGAATTTCATGAGAGGCATGTTGTCTTGAACGTGTTTTTGTTTGTTTCTTCTTTAATTTTGTTATGTTGGATTGCTTGCCGTTCATGTCATTTATTCATATTGAAATTAATATCATGTTCAAACGCTGGTTTCTTATTTTCCTTAATAAAAATATGTTTGGTAATTGCATTCAATGATTGTTTATTTGGCTTTTATGAAACGTGAGAATTAAAAGAAACCACATTTTAAGTTACTGCGGTACCGCGTTCCCGCGTGGACTATTCGAACTTTTTTTTCCTTGTGGGTGGCTTTCTATAATAAGGGTGCGTCTTATATGCCGTCAAATATGGTAATCGTGGCCAGAAGGAAACCGTTACATGAGACCTGCTGAAATGAGTCCCCCTGGTATTTTTACATGAATTCATAAAAATAAAATATTACTATTCATACTCCAGGTTTTGTTCTTATAAAAAATTATTTGATGCATATTGTTATGCAATGGAAAAGATCACACTAATAATTTACCAAATAAAGAGGAAAAAATTCTTACGTGTTTTGACATTTCAAAAGTTCATTGAAAGCCCTGTAACAAAAACAATAATCCATGAATGAAATTTAATACCTAAATAAAATGAAAATATTTACAAATCAATTTAGAATATAGTGAAATATTATAAAAGATTTTCATGTCATGCAAAAAATAATCAAGAAATTTTAATATATGTACTATTACAAGTAATAATAATTATTTATATCTTGTATTAAAATTCTATATGGGTTTATATGGGTTTCTATATGGGTATAATGAATTGCTGCATTTCACAATGTTACCCATTTTGAATTGGGAAGTATTTTGGGGGCAAAAAAATTAATACGGTTAACTGCAGATGAGTGAAGCCATAGGCACCAAATCAGAAGATATGGGGCATTACTGTAATAGAAACTTAAAGAACACTTAGAAAATAAATGTCTTTTCTAGCTCAGATTTTGAATATTCCAGATCTCTCCCATCTGCTTAACATAGAGAAGTCAAAGCTCAACATCACATTCATTCTTGACTAAATCTTTAGTGCCATGACCATTCTTAGTTTAGTAAATGGTGGATAATTTTTAAAGCTTGCATTGATATATGTTTAGCTAGCATGTTTTGCATAGTTTTAGTTAAGTTTCTGACTTTCAAAGCTATGTGTTTTGATAAAATATAGAGATTCTGCTCCATGTATTACAGGTTCTTCACTCAAGACACCTTTTAGAAAAGTACAGTTGTTTGAATTTGCTGCTTAGGGTTACTAATTTTTAAGGAACAGGAGGAAAGATTTTCATGTGCCATAAAAAGACTGAATAGTAATTTGGCTTATATACAAATGACTTGAGATTTAGCTCTATTAATATGTTTATTAAGATAATTAATTTCAGTACGATATAAGGATTTTAAGTAGTAGTGTCATCTGACTCAACTCTACACACTTTGTTAAGCAATATTTTTAAAAGTTTATGGAATTCCAACTGCTTTTTTTATTTTTGATCCATACCATTAATAATGAAAATTTAAGAACAGACTTACCTACAAGCATAATTAAGCAAATTAATAAGAAATTAAAGAAGAATTTAAGAATAAGTTTGTAAACATATCTTAGAATTTTTTTATATTTAAAAGCTTTATTTATTTACTACTTATTTATTAATTTTAGTTTTGAGACTCCATTATAAATATATCTCAGAAATCAGGTTTTTAACAATGAAGAATTTTATTTACTATTACTTCCCAGTTTTATTTCATTTCAATGTTTAGGCTTAAAGATGCAGATGAAAAATGATACTGAAGTGGATCAAAAGATGACTTACTTAATTGCATATTCATCAACAGAGCAAAATAGTTGGTATAACTTTTTCATACGCTCTTCTGAAGAACTCTGGTACGGAACTAAACAAGTATGTAGGATGCGTTCAACTAACAATCTAATAAAAGGGAAAATATGACAAGTTAAATACATAACTACTACTATGTATTTGTATTTAAATTAATAATAAAATACATTTACCTATCTTCTAAGGCAGTCTGATAGTACACATGCAACACTTTATTTTTAATCCAAGATATGCATTCCTTTGTTGATTCTGGTATTTCTGGATTGCTCATATGTTGCTTATATAGCATAGCCAAACCAAGCAAAGCTTCTCTCCTTATTTTAAACTAAATAATTTAAAAAAAAAAAAAAGTGATAAAATGTTACACTAAATTAAGAATTTTAAAAGTTTCAATACATATACATTTAAAAGAATACATTAAGTTATTAAAAATAACACATAAATAAAATAATAAAATGGCAGAATATCCCCGCAAAATTAAGTTTCAAACTATTTAAATCCTTTTTTCCCCTCCCATTTTTTTAAAGAGAAGATAGAGCAATTATAACATAATTGCCATTTGAAAAATATAACTTAAGCATTTGGAGAATTCTTGATTATACAATGATCAAACTTTACAAATAAAAAATACATAAATGATTACTTTAACAGCTGATTTTGATTTTATATATAACATGATTTATTAAAACAAATCCATTTCTGATGCTTTTCTTTTTGTTGATTTCAGCATGATTCTAGTAAAATGTTGATGAATCTGCATTTTCCTTCTAAATTTAATCATTTATATTTGATTCACATGTATATAAAAGCTTAAAATATAATAAATGCATAAAAATTAACTAATTTACTTTTTTATCCTTTAATGAAAGTAAACCTGATATGTTAAATTTTCTTTATTCATTCACAGTAAATTAACAAGCTTAGTAGAATTTCACACATAAAAACCCTCCTCTTTGAAGTATTAAAAATAAATAAGTTCAAAATAAAAAAATACAAAGAGACAAAATTTATAACAGAAACTAAGTTCAACTATCCCACAAACAAATTGCTTACTTTCTTGTCTAATGTCCTTTCTTTGACAAAATTTAGTAAATCATCTGTAACTGAATTAAAATCTTTTTTAGCCGCACTGATGATGGCCATAACAACTTCATATCTTACAGTTTCATCTAGGTCATGCTGTCGCAGCCTCAGTTGTTCTGATGCACAGAAATATTGATAATTAGTATATATAATGATTAAAAAAGCAATATTATATTTAAAACAATATTAAATATAAAAATATAGAAAGCACAATCATCCTGCACTTAATCAGCAAATTATAGACCAAAACTGCTGCAAACTGGAAATCATCAAAAATTCAAGCACAGGCTTTAAAACATCCTCAAATGAAATTTGCCATAAAAAAAATACTGCATATCACTTACAAAAGTTTAACAACATTTTTAACAAAGTATATAGAAATGCTAGTAAAAAAATTATCTTTCAAAATGTAACTAAACAGGGCAGAAGAGCAGATTACATGCTGAATACAGTGTCCAATTATAAATGAAGGGAAATGAAGAAAGCAGGAGACATTTGTTAGACAATTTCCAAAAATTAAGGAAAAAACAGCTTTTCTTGCAAATCTAGATTCCATTCATTCCAAACATATCTTCAATACATTTTCACATGTGTTGATTCCTCTTTCTATTTTAATCAAAAACATTTAATTCAAGTAACATAAAATTAAAATTTATGTATCCTTTTATAGCATTTTAAACTTTTTAATTCTGCAGCATTCCTTCTTTTTGATATTCTTCCTGGACTATAAATCAGAGTTGGTTTTACTATGACTAAGAAATATTGCCTACTACTGTGATAGCCAACAAGTGGCTAAATCTATAAATTTTCTTTGCAGACAAACCAATGGCACACAAATGCAATTATTACCCATGTTTAAATTAATGTAATACATTTAGACAGCTCAATTAAGATAATTTTTTAAAAAAAGTTCTTGGCTTTTTTCAGGTTTGGTTAGGTTTTATGGCAAGAAACCTACACAGGTTATTCTATTCTAGACATCTGATGAGGGAGAATATTGAATTAAACAATAAAAAATCCTTTCAATAATAACAAATACTCAATAAGCAATATACATATACTGTTTAAATAAGCAAAATACATACATAAAAATATTGCTCACACTGATTTATAACCATTTCTAATTCATAGACACTTAAGCAATTAGGAAAGCCATAATCTCTGACTTTACACACCAAACATTAAATGAAACCATTCATTTAAACAAGTTGCATACCTGTAATATCAGCTCGCAATTCAGGATGGTTAAGAAGAAAATGCATAGCGTACTGTACACATCTGATTCTAACTTGAAAACTAATATCATTGAACCTATAACAATAACAATGTATTAATCTTTATAAACAGTTGTTAATATTTGCTCATAATGTATTAATTTACTCCATGCAAACTTTCTTCTCACTGATTACTATACTGACTCAACAGAAAGATGCACTTTTAAGATGTTTTGCAAAGCTCCTTTTATAAAATCTTATGATGAAGTTAAAAAAAAAAAAAAAGATAATTAAACGAATTGAATATCATGTCTTAGGGTAAAATTAACCGAATACGTTTTCATTTAAAAGGAACATATATGTGTGTGTATGCGTGTTGTGAATTTTGTGGAAGATTAAACCTCTTCTCAATCATAAGTCATGGCCGAAAAGACCGTTCTGTCGATGATGACTAGTGAAAAAAATCACAAATACACTGGTTATCATAAATTGACGAAAAAACACAAAAATAGTGATAACTCGCTCAAAAATACGCCAAACCGAATAAAATTTGGATATGTTGCCAAGTAAGAGTAGCTGAGTAAAACTGCGATACGCAAATTAGTGCCGCTGTTTTCGGAATACGTCATCTGCGAGGAGCATAAAAGTCCATGTTTGAGAGCAAGCCCACATATTTCACTGTGACAGTGACTCAGAAATCTGAGATAGCCAATCGTACAATGACCCCCAGGCATCATTTGCCTTTGAACTGCGTTGGAGAGCCATTGGAACTGCGGCAGGACAAGTCACAGAATTGCCATATGTCTACATGTGAGTCCTTCTGTGGTTCTTAAGGCATTTCAAACCACAATTCGGCATCTAGGGTTCAGCCAAGGACGGTTACTACTACACGACTCCGATGTCCTATATTTGCCTTATGTGCGTGCAGGAATAGAACGCTACTTTAACTCTTCTTGATCCTCCCTTGCTGCAGCCACCTTAAGGTTCATTCAATTCGCTGTGGCATAGAAGCTTCCAATAGGTGGTCTGTATGTAGGCGACAGCCTTTGTGTGCGCTCACTCACGCCATAGGATGCCATTTTCAGTGGCTCGACTACATGTCCACTGGAGCCTGATCACTGGAGGGCGGTTCTCTTACGGAGAGCCAGGTTCATTTCTAGAAGCGATATTATGCGTTATTTCAATGGAAGACTAGAAAACCCGTTATCACGTCAACATCTGTAAAAAAATGATACGAAGGGGCAGGGTCTTGTTTAGGGGGCGCTCTTTGGGTGGTACACAGACCTCCATGCTTTTCAAGGGAACCGTGAATGCTCAATTTATAGAGATGACTCCTTGATGTTATGGCACCCATATGCCGGGCAATAGGTGATGCTTTCCTGTTACAGGGACACCAAACCACCCCGGGCCCCATCGTAGATGATTAGCTTCAACAGAAACATTATCGCACTGATAACCGCTAATTGAAGAATCGCCATCGCTTACGTCTGTATTGCTTCTAGAGGCGACATATTCCATATAAAGTACTTTTCCTATAGCAAACTAAAACCTTCGATTTGTTCATTTTATGGCATGCGCTAATTTCTATACTACCATATTGTCCTGTAATTTTCTTTTTAACGTACTTGATACCTTCTATGTGTTGTATATTGTGGGTAAGTTTCATTAAATTCTACATGTAACTTTTTCAGCAATCGTGATTTTTGTGATTTTCCCTTAATTTATGATAACCAGTGTAGCTTTTGATGGTTAAAACATCGTTTTGATTTTTGACAGGAACAATTATTCAGAAATACATCTTTTGTTAAAATTGGTACAACAGGTAGGGTTGTTTAATGTGCCTTGCCTATTTTGATATACATAGTTTACATTTTAGAAAATGAAGAAAGAAGGTGAAGTAAGGAACATGGTTTATTCAAAACAGCAGCAGATGCAAAATGCAATGTATACTCACTTTAGTCCACAGTCAGAAGGCCACTGTGTTGAACCTGAGCAATGATTGGGCTAAAGATGTCACAGTGCAGAGATATTGCAGGGAAGGAGACACATAACATGCAGCAGACTGATGCAAAATGGTGCAAAGCATATCCCTGAAGCGGGAATGTGTTTAATTAAAATTTATGAATTCTGTCGCCAACTGATTCTAATTAAGTTTAAGAATTTTGTTTCAAATTTTATATTTTACATATTCCTCCTTTCAGAGAGAAAAAGGCTTGGTGAGAGTTGCAATGAGAAAGCAAGAAGTGCTTCAGAGACACAGCATTTAAGTTTACATTATGCCCTGCCATTTGTTTCATGAACTTTCTCATATTTGAATATAAAAAAATAAATAGAGAATATAATACCAAAATATTATACAATTTGGAAATGGATTGCAGAAAGGGGCTTATAATTGAATCCGAAACTCTATATGAGATAAGTTTGTAAAGTTCTTAAAATATTGTCCAAATGTCCTGAATTTGGAATACCAATCACTAAAAATGTTTAGAGTTCTTGAGAAGAAGCAAGTTTGTAAAGTTCTTGAAATATTGTCGAAATATCCTGCATTTGGAGTACCAATCACTGAAAATGTTTAGAGTTCTCGAGAAGAAGCTTGAGAATCTTGAATCATTATAAATTTTACAATCAGTAAAAAGTCCTATAAAACCACGTGTTAATATGCAAAACATAAAATATGAAACAAAATTTTTAAACTTAACTGGAATTAAGTGGCAATATATCTTCAAATTCATAAATTTTAATTAAACACATCCCTGCTTCAAATATAAGCTTTGCACAATTTTTCATCAATCTGCCACACGTCACGTCTCTCTTTCCCTGCAATCTCTCTGCACTGCAACATCCCAATTGCTGCTCAGGATTAAGACAATGACTTTCTGGCTATGAATAGGACCAAAGTGAGTATACACTGATTTTTCTTGTCTGCTGCTGCTGCTTGAATAAACCATACGTCACTCGCTTTGCCTTCTTTCTTCATTGTCTAAAATGTAAACTATGTATATTGAAATTGTGGGGTCTGTTTAGCATCCTTATTATCATACCAGTTTTAAACAAGATGTATTTCTGAATAATTGTTCCTACGAAAAATTAACCAGCAAGCCAAATCTGATTTTTGCACTAGCCGTCATCTACATAACAGTCTTCTCATCCATGACTAAAGGAGTAAGAAGTGGTTTCATCTTCCACAAAAACTACAAAATATATCTATATATATAAATTATTTTTACATAGGACAATCCAAAAGTTAAAAAATGTTTATAAAATTTGTACTTCCATGAATTTTTTGCACTTTATAAATACAGTTAACTATAATGTTGTTGCATAAATGAATAGGCAGTTAATTTTAAGGGATTTCATAACGCAGAATTTTTAATTACATACTATTTCTTAAATAGCATTACAGCCAGCAAAAGAACTCAAAGCATGGTGACGTTCAATATTAAGAAAATAAAAAAAAAAAAAAAAAAAAAAAAAAATTAATTAATTTTTCAAAAATACTACACTAAACTGGAATGTGTGTGATGAAATAATAATGTTATAATGTTGGTGTTGAGCATGCAATCATCCTTCATGTAGGCTACCCCAGTAAGTATAAAAAGCAGTCTCTTTTGACGGAGGCATTCTTACTTTGTTTACACGTATCAGTCAAAATCATAGTACTTGTCATATTTTATATTTCTTCTCTAGAATAAGTAAACACCACCATTTAGCTGATGGAATGAGGAGGACAATTTGCTGGCTAACTGGATGCAGGGCAATCTTAAGTTCAGTGATATCAATCTACCTTAATTTAAGGTACATAAGCCAGACTTATACGTGTTTAAAGGCTGAAAATTTAAGTGTGTGGAGTATCTGAAGGAATTTTATTTTTCTTCTACTTTTTGGAACTTTGCCAGTTTAGATCATTAAGTCATCCACAAGGAAAACAACTAACGCAGAATTAACTGTGATGTTTTACTCTGTTAAGAGTGCTTAAGTTGTGCTAAGGCAGTGTTTAAGAATTTTGAACATACGTGAAACTCGCCTAACTATGAAAAGGTGCGTTTCGTGTAAAGACACCATAATACATGTCCTTTCTGATCAATTCCACGGTTTTATCTGCATTTTCTGATGACCATTCTCTTTTTTTGAATGGTCACAGGAACTTTTACTTCACCAAGCTTTGTGTTCATTCTTACATGTATATCTCTGCTTTTTGACTTGCTTATTGCGTTCTTGTTACAGAGCTTACTTTATCATTTATGCTTGCCGCATTTTTAAGATTATTATTATTATTCATTATGGTTCCCCCTCAAAGAAAAGCTATATACATGCTTTTAACAATGAGAAAGTGATAGAAATTGGAAATCGGGTTGCGGCTAGAGAATTTCACGTTGACAAAGGATGTATTCGGTGGAAGCCCGAACAAGATGTATTAGACAAGAATGCCAAGGAATGAAAGATCTTGTTGGACTGGCATCACAAGCTGGCCTTTTCTGGAAGATAATTTAGAGAAATACACAAAAGGACAGAAAGAAAAAAAGATTAACAGTGCCAACAATTAGAATTTTCCTTCAAGCAAACACAAATGCTCAACAAATGGGCATTAAAAACTTTGTTGGAGTACCTAATTGGTATCTCATGTTCATGAAAAAGACATTATCTCGCAGAACCAAAACAACAACTGGACAAAAGCTTCTAATGTATTGGCTAGAAAAAACAGATAGCTTTTTTGGAATATACATTAAAGAAAATTAAAGGATCAAATCTGAATAGAGAGATAACAATTAACATGGATGAAGTACCTGTTATTTTTGACTGTCCTCCAAGCAGAGCTGTTCAACAGATGAAAAAACTACTCCTGTGCTAAGAAACTGGAACGAAAGATTTCTTTTTAATTAATAACAGACGGATGACAAAAGCTTCATATCAGGAGCTTCCCTTGTGGGTTCATAAGGCCTGGCAAACTGTCTCAGCTGATGTGATCGTATCAGCTCAGACAGCAGATACAGTGCGATCGTATCAGCTTTCATTAAATCGGAAATCACCAAAAAAGAAATTGAAAATGAAGATACCAATGCTGAAGGAAGTGGTTTAGAACAGAGTGATGAAAATGAC